TCCCAAAAACGCGTCGCGCACCAATTGCCAAACACCTTCCATCTACAGCCATAAACCTTGATGGTAGAAGGGGCCCTCGTCCCCTGAATAGTTTCGACCACCGAGGGAGACCCAGGCCTGCAAGGTTCTGCCTCTCAGCCTCCAGACCCAGAGTCTGCGGCCTAACACCGGGCGTGAGTGAAGGGTCCCCCCTCCCTGGATCAGAGCCCACGGCTCCATCACCGCCATGCCCCTCAGGAACGGAAACCAACGGGCATGCGGGTTGTCCGGGGCGGTCACAATCGCTTCCCGACCCTCCTGCTCGATTCTCCTCAACAGAAACAGGAGGCGAGACGGGGGACTCCCCCAGGGGCGGATCGTCCGCGGCTCGTAGTGCGAACCAGAGCGGGCACTGAGCGTTGTCTGCACTGCCGAAAAGGTTGACTACCGGGTGACCGAACCTCAGCCAGACCTCTTCCGCTATTCTCGGGTCCAGGCCCCACTCCTCCTTGAGTGGGCCCCCTCTGGACATTATGTCCGCCCCTGTGTTCCGATCCCCCGGAACGTGGCGCACTCTCAGGGACTGCAGGTGCACCGTGCAGTCCCTGAGAGCCCAGAGCAGAATGGTCGTCGTCAGACGATGGAGGTACGGGGACCTCGTGCCCCCCTGCCTGTTCAGGTACGCCACCACGGTGGTGTTGTCCGAACCGACCTGTACATGTCTCCCCTCCAGACGTGGGGCAAAGTGCTGCAGCACCCTGCGCACCGCATCCATCTCCAACACATTGATGTGGCGAGGCGGGCCCGACCAGGAGCCCCTGACCGAGCTTTGATCCAGGACCCCTCCCCATCCTTCGAGAGAAGCGTCCGTGAACACCTCCACGTGTGTCACGGAACTGACCAGGGGCACCCCCTCCTGCAGTAAGGTGAGGAGTCAGCTCCAGCGCCTGAAGCTGAGGAAATCCGCAGGACCGGACGGGATCAGTCCCAGGCTGCTGAGGACCTGTGCAGACCAGCTCTCTGGGGTCCTCAGCTACATGTACAACCTGAGCCTCAGCCTGGAGAAGGTCCCTGTCCTGTGGAAGACCTCCTGTGTGATCCCAGTTCCAAAAACAGCATACGCCAAGGAACCGGCTCACTACAGACCAGTCGCACTGACCTCCCACCTGATGAAGACCATGGAGCGGCTCATCCTCACCCATCTCCGCTCCGTGGTCAGCCCCACCCTGGACCCGCTGCAGGTCGCCTACAGACCCAACATTGGAGTAGAGGACGCCGTCATCTACTTCCTGCAGCGGACGCTCTCCCACCTGGAGCCCGCCGGGAGCGCTGTGAGGGTCATGTTTTTCGACTTCTCCAGCGCTTTCAATACCATCAGGCCAGCACTGCTGCAGGGGAAGATGGAGGACGCGGGAGTGGACAGTATTCTCACTGCATGAGGTGGTAGTCTGCAGCACTGGGGCCCCTCAGCAGGGCACTGTCCTCTCACCGTTTCTCTTCACCATCTACACTTCAGACTTCACACACGACACACACAGCTGTCACCTGCAGAAGTTCTCTGACGACTCCGCCATCGTGGGCTGTGTGTCTGAGGGTAACGAACTGGAATATCGGTCGGTTATCAAGGACTTTGTCGACTGGTGTGAGCGCAACCACTTGTGCTTGAACACCAGTAAGACCAAGGAGATGATCATCGACTTCAGGAGAAAACCACTTTCCCACACGCTGCTGAACATCCAGGGGGAGGACATTGAGCTGGTGGACAGCTTCAAGTACCTGGGTGTTCACATTAACAATAAACTGGACTGGTCCCATAATACAAACGCCCTGCACAAGAAGGGCCAAAGTCGCCTCTTCCTTCTGAGGAGGCTGAGGTCCTTCGGAGTGAGCAGGCCTCTGCTCAGGACTTTTTATGACTCTGTGGTAGCTTCTGCCATTTACTACACTGCCGTGTGCTGGGCCCCGGTCAGCACAGAGCGGGACAGAAACAGACTGAACAAGCTGGTCAGGAGGGCCAGCTCCACTCTGGGCTGCTCCCTGGACTCTGTGGAGGAGGTGAGGGACAGGAGGGTGCTAGCCAAAGCCACCTCCATCATGAACAATACCTCCCACCCACTGCACAGGACTGTAGAGGAGCTGAGGAGCTCCTTCAGTGGAAGACTGAGGCACCCTCAGTGTAGGAAGGAGCGCTACCGCAGGGCCTTTATCCGCTGTCAGACTGTACAATAAGTCACTTTAAATGATCACTGTGTGAAAACCTGCACTACTATTAACACTGTTTCCAATTGACACTTGTCACTTTTGTTGTACATAATTATTGTCACTTTTATTGTACATATATCCTGCATGTAACATGTTTGCACATTTCTTCCTTTTGCACAATCTGAGTGTTCTATCCATGCCAAATGTGACATGTAAATTTCTCCTCTGTGAGATAAATAAAGCACATCTTATCTTATCTTAAACCCGGGGTGAGCCAGAATCTGATCTCCAATGCTACGGTCGGGGGAATCACGAGCATTCTCCCCCTGTTCCGTGATGGGTGAAGCCCGAGACGAGAGAACCATCTCTGAAATCTCCTCATGTGACGGAGGCCCAGACGCACCACGGCATGGGCCGCCGCCATCATCCCCAGCAGCGATCTGAGGCTCCGAGCTGGCACTCTGGGAGCGGACAGCGCCTCCCTGGCCAAGCGGGTGATGCTCTCCTGTCTGTCCTCGGATAACGCAGCCCTGAACCGCACCGCGTCCAGCTGCAGACCGAGATAGACCATGCGCTGGGCAGGCTGTAACCTGTTCTTTTCTCTGTTCTCTACAAAGCCCAGACGTTGTATGTGAGACAGAACCAAGCGTGTGTGAGCCGCGGCCATCTCCCTGGATCCGGCCAGGATTAACCAATCGTCTATGTAGGTTAAAATCCTGACCCCTGCTTATCTGAGTGGCTCCAGTGCCGCCTCGACGCACTTGGAGAAGGTGCGCGGGGCCAGAGCGTATCCGAATGGGAGCCGGCAATACTCGTAGCACCTCCCCCCCACCGCAAAGCGCAGAAACAGCCTGTAATCTGCAGCAATCGTTACGTGGACGTAAGCATACGTCAGATCGATGGAAGACATCCAGTCTCCGGTTCTGACGCCTTCCAGCAGCTGTTTATGACAAGCCTGCGGAACAAGCGCTTGGAATTCTACGTCCTGATGCTACATCCCCTAGGTCTACGTCAGGGGTAACCCTAAGGGGCTACGCGCTCCTTTGTAGAACTAGGTTACATTAGGTAACTAGCCTTTAGTAGAGGGGGAGCATCAGACTCGAAGTACTCCTCTCACAAGCCCCGCCCTCTCCTGGTGCTCCCAGAGTAGGGAGAGAGGGGGGGGGGGGGGGGGGGCAAAAGGGCACGCAACCCCCCTGCGATATGCTGTGTGAGACAGAGAAAGTCCCTGGTCTCTCTACCTCACTTATTGCAGCCTGATTTGCCGTTCCCCTTCACTCATCGGAGAGGAAGCACTGGTTGCTATGGGAACTGGTTGCCATGGCAACGAGGCCAGTACTTTGGACCAATCGCTGTGAGGTCCTCATCTGTTTTCCCGCCTCAAACCTCTCAGGGAGTGAGGCGCTGGGGTTGCCAGGGAGCATTGGTTTCCATGATAACAGCGCCAGACTTCTGGACCAATAGCTGTGCGTCCCTCGACTGGTCTTTCCCGCTCCCTTCTTCTCAGAGGGGGCGGGGCATCTGTTTTCCGAGCCTCAAACCTCTCAGGGAATGAGGCGCTGCGGTCGCCAGGGTGCACTGGTTTCCATGGTAACAGGGACAGACTTCTGGACCAATAGCTGTGTGTCCCTCGACTGGTCTTTCCCGCTCCCTTCTTCTCAGAAGGGGCGGGGCGCTGGTCACCCTGGTAATGGGACCAGACCAGATCTCTCGTCTGGTCTGGTCACACGTTTGTGTGAGATTCAAGGTCCTTTACCCGTGAATACATGTCATAATGAACACAAGCAGAATCTCTGTGGGTCTGTCGTCTGCGCCCACGTGACCCCAGGCTTAGAGCAAGGTGTGTGTGAGTCCCAGGTCTCTTCCAGTGCAGACAACTCGCTTAAGCAAAACACGCAGTTTCACACACGGAGCAAGGTGCTGCGTTGTGTGTGAGTCCCAGGTCTCTCCCAGAGTGATATGCTGCGTGTGAGACAGAGAAAGTCCCTGGCCTCTCTGCCTTACTTATAGCAGCTTGATATGCCCCTTCCTCTCCACTGAGTGGAGAGGAAGCACTGGCAGACGAGTCGTTAAGCAACGAACCGTCTTACACACAAAATACGGGTTGTTTCTCTTTTATTAAGAAAGCCTCTACCCTCCCGTCTGCCCCTACTGTAAGGGGGAGACGTAGGCAATCCGAGCTCCCAAGCACCTCCGCAGATCCACTCGGGACCTCCGGGTCTCGCTGAAAGAGAGCGGGTCTGGAGAGTAGTGATCCGCGAAAGGCAGAGCGCTTCTGGGACTGAGACTGCTCTCTGGTCTGGTCTGGGTCCTGGTCGCGCTGTTCAAGTAAATCGACCAGCCCCTCAGTCAAATCCTCTCCGCTGAGCGCCTGGCCCGCCGAGAGAGACTCATTCAGAGCGCCCAGTTATTAAAGCCCTGCTGCTCTGACAACGCGACCCCTGAGCCGCGTTGGCATTGCACCCCTCCAGTGCGGGCATAGACCTCTTCTCCCGCTCGGAGGGAGAGGGTGGTCTGTTGCCTGGTCCCATGGAAGGCGCGGGGAGCAACGTAAGCCCCAACGCGTCCTCCGCGTCAGACTCCGCTGGACCCAGACCAGTCTTGGACCGTACCATACGGGCCAAACCCTAGGGCGAGCCTCTTGGCTCCTCCGGGATGTGGGCCCATCACGTGTGGCGTAGTGAACACTGGGTTCATACGTGGGCACAGTGTGAGTTCGGACTTCTCCTGTCCCTGCTCCGAGCCCTCTCTGTCTCTGTCTGAGAGGGCTGCGGTGGGAGGAGGATTTCCCAGCACCCAGAGCTGCAGACGGAGGGGAAATGGCTGCGCGGGAAAGCTGTCTCGATGGTAAAGAGGGAGAGACCTCCGTGCTCTGTCTCCACGCCATTCTCCCCAGACACGCGGGAAGGTCAAGCGGGGCAAACCGCACTCCCTTCCCTGAAGTCCGGGCAGCCTTCGAGGCACTGGAGCGTGCAATGCGGCACTCTCACTCTCCCCCTGGGGAGAGAGAGAGGCCCGTGATCTGGGCGGTGCGTGAAGGCGTCAGTCAGCCCAGGCAGGGGAAGCAGAAGAAGCACCGGGGTGCACTCCCTTCCCTGATGTCCGGGCAGCCTTCGAGGCACTGGAGCGTGCATCGCAGGGGGAGAGTGAGAGAGAGTGAGTCTTATTATGGTGCTTTCAGACCGGGACAGTCGTTGCGTCTGCGTTCAATGCAAAGTCAATGGGGAGTCGCGTTTCAGCGTCGCATTGCACGGACCTCTCGGCACACACGCACGGACCGCCCAGTAGAAACGCACGGACTTGGCGGGAAAGTCAAAGGGGAGGAGAAGGAGCGGAAAATGAACGCCCACAGGAGATGGATTCCGCTCAACTTTTCCTCGAGATGTTCGTGCAGCGACCAATCAGAGAGCACGCACACCACTGACGTAATCACGCCACTACACAGCGTATATTTTCCCCATTGTGAGCCAGGAACCGGTCATTTAAACACGCCATTGCGCAGCAGCTCAACCTCCCTGGTAAGTTTTTTGAGTATCATTCATTCGTAAATTGGTTCTTGTTTATGCTAGTTTTTTGAGGGGAAATTCTGACTAGTATCTGATTCTTTGCAGTCGAATTTTGCAAGAAGCGATGGCGGTCACTACGTGACACTTATATGAAAAGGAAAAAAGACGTACAGAGGAGTGGCTCTGCAGCGGGGACTGCGAAGTGGAGGTACGCAAGTGCCCTTTCGTTCCTCGACCCTTCCATTACCCCGCGCGCGCCCCACCACCAGCAATATGGGTAGGGTGGAGGAAGGACCCGCTGTCGAAGAGGCCTCTGCGCGACCTGAAGGTTTGTACTGGGTTGAAATGGGGACATTTGACTATATGAAATTTATATCACGTCATGCTATACAATGGCCATATCTGCAATGGTATTGCTTTCTGTAATTCAAGTTTTTATAGAAGTTTTTCTTCTCTATATATTACATTACATACATTGTATACTTTCAGACAACTGCTATGTTTACTAAAATGACAATGCATTTACAGAAGACATGAGGGTGTCATCTCCTGCGTCGGGGACATCCAACGCCACTATCCCTGCCTCTCCCTACCACCCAAGGCTTCTGTTCCCCCAGGAAACACCTCCAGGTTAGCATCACATATCATATACTTGGTGACCTACTTCACGTCTGCGACCAGTTATATCTGTTGTCCGTAGTGTGCAATTTCTAAAGATGTATTTCCTCCTGTTCAACAGAGCCAAAACGGAAGAGGAGCAAGAAGGCTGAAAGAGAGCTGCTCTCTGCACTCCAGCAGAACTCTCAGGGCTCACCACAGAAATCAGAGGATCAGCTGTTTGCGGACAGTCTGGTCCCTCTATTGGGGAAATTGGAGCCCCATGCCCGTTACAGAATCAAACGGAGGTTTTCGAACATCATCTACAAGGAACTTGCAGAAAAGGAAAATGCGCCGCCATGTGACCTCACTCCATGCAATTGTATATATGTAAATAAAAGTGTTGTGTGAATCTCTTGTGTCTATGTAGATACATTTCGTAGGTTCTTTTTAATCTTGTCATTAAGAGGCGTAGTTGTAGAAGAACCATACATTACAGAATAAATGAGCAGATAGAAAATTTACTTTGGCCCCTCCTTTACAGCATATATATTGGCATATTGACATTGTAGAATTCTCCACAGCTCTGAGAATGTATAAGGCGAGTACAAAAATGTTCTATAGTTTGTTTCAGCCCTTAGCACCTGGTTGATGAGGGAACAAGGTTTGTTCAATGTTTGCATTACTTTCTCTTGTCTCTGTGATATGCTACGGTTGTTTACTGTTGTATGCTACATTGGTCACTAAATGGCGTGAAAACGGCCCTAAATCAAGGGTCGTTTTAAACAGTTTAATTACACTGTATTATGATTAAGCAAGTAAGGATAAGGGAACAGCAACTTCACATTGTAGAATTCTCCAAAGCTCAGGTAATATAAGGCGCGTACTAACATGTTACCAAATTAAAGTACAGAGGAATGCAGCTCGCGGAAATTCAATTTGGAAGACGTCAGCCAAAGCCACCCCTTCCAGGCCGGCCTCGCATCCCCAGCCTATCGCACAGCAAACGCCCTCTTCCAATCAATCCGTGCCGGCCAGGCCAGCCGCTTAAAAGCGGAGAAACTCCCACTTCACGGCCTTCTCGAAGCCTTGCAACCACCGCCTCCCCTCCTCCTCCTCTTCACCCTGCCTCAATCTGCCTTCCTGCTGCCAAATGCCGCCACCAGTGCCTAGGTCCCGGGGGATTGTGCGCGCACTCTCGCAGGAGCCTCGCTGACTGAACGCCGCACCGGGGCCTAGGGCGCCAAACTACCTCTCAATAAAATACTTCAAAGGCATTCTCGTTCCTCGTCTCTCCAGATTGAAATGTCTTTATATGATGATAACAAATGTTGAGGGCCCAATGTTAATATCTGCCATACTCGCACAAATAGTGAGGATTTTAGTAATATCAATTGGAGTACTAGGGAACCAAAATAATATTCTGAACTCACCTACATAAAGTCTATTTACATGATCGCAGTTTCTAATATTTAAAATTCATACTCTATCTTTAATGTGATGTGTGTTAAACAGAGTATTTCTCATGCACAATATTCTCTATGACTCTGTGCACGAGAAAAGGTACGAATGGACTAATCAAAGTATGTGGTACTTTATTTTCCACTAGTGAACCATTCCATTCCAAAGCTAAATGTCTGATTTGACATTGCCTATAATTGGGGCTGAATAAGAAGGATCATAGAGTAACGTTTCAAAACAAAACTAGGTACTAACTTTTAACTTGACTTCACGTCTCGTTAGCTGTAAGTGTTTACCTAAAGCATTTTAAATTAAAACATACATTAAACAGAAACAACACTTCAAGTAAGGCAAAAATGTATTAGCGCTAACAAAATGGTGACAAAGAACAGAAATGCAGTCAGTTTCTTTCAGGGAAACCTGGCTATGTGCGTTGCCAGTGCACTGCTCCTTCCTCTGTGAAATGGGCTTTGAAAACCTCCCTCATTCTCAACGCCGCTCTGGCAGCATAGTTGGCTCCGATACGACCTAGATCAGGAAGTGGGTCGGGTGCTGCAGGTCCTGCCTGCGGAGGAGCTGCCATTTCCGCTGACGGCCGCATGAAGTTGTGAAGGACACAGGTTGCCTTAACACACTTCTCCACAACTTCGGGACGGATTTCCAGCTCCCGATGGAACATCCTCCACTGGGACGTCCAAATCCCAAAAGCGTCTTCCACTACCAGTCGAGCCCTGGAGAGGCGGTAGTTAAAGGTGTTGCTTTCAGGGGAAAGACCGCCACGGCCGGGATAGGGACGCATCATGTGCCGCTGCAGTGGAGCGCCAGTCGTCTGTGGTGGGAACCGCCATGAACTCCTCCACCAGAGAGTCCCAGATGGCCGTAATTACCTCGGGGACGACTTTGGAGACAGTGGACACACCGACCCTGAAGCTGCTCCCGATGGTAGTATACGAATCTCCAGTGGCAAGGAACCTGATAAAATAAAAAGAAGACATTAATTGAATGTGCACATGGAGTGAGAGACAAATGTCCCATAACAATAAAAAGGTGCTTTGTGACTGGTCTGTGAAAGGCGCTATATACATGAAGAATAGACACAGACACACACAGACACACAGAGAGAGACAAGGAAACACAGACAGAAATAAACACACACAGACAGACTCGCTTCCACCCTCACCATGTGTGGAATGATTGGAACAATATCTGAACTCTGAACATTGTAAAGCGCTTTGGGTGACCTTGGTCTGTAGAATGCGCTATATAAATAGACATTACTTACTTATAAAGACACGCACAGAGACAAAGACACACACAAACAGACCGAACACACACACAGAGACAAAGACACACACAAACAGACCGAACACACGCACAGAGACAAAGACACACACTCACATACACAATTACTGACCGTAGGCAGATGGAGAGGCGCTCTGCAGGAGAGATGGAACGTCTGTAGTTGGTGTCTTGGTGAGAGATTCGTGCACCTACGCGGCCCAACAGGTCATCGAACTGGGCCACCGTGAGACGGAAGTGCCGCTGAAATCGCACCTCATCCAGCCGCAGCTCTTGTAACAAATGGTGCAACTCGCCATACTCTGACCGTCTCTGGAGGATATCGTGAACCCAGACACGCCGTCGTACACGCCGTCGTTCAAGAACTCTATGAACCAAGTAAACGAACGCTTGCTGCCCATGGATGTAATATGTTGCTGCCTCGCCTGATCCGCCATCTTGTTGAGTTGTTGTGAATATGGAAAGCCCGCCCATACGCCTCACGCTTCCGGCGGAAGTGTAGTGAGGTGGGCATGCTTGTGTTCGTGCGTCGTTTGGCGGTGTGCAAGCCTCTGCGTCTGAAAACTAGAGAATGCGCGTCTGGTAAGCTGGGCTGCTGCGTTTCAGCGTTTTCGGTCTGAAAGCACCATTAGGCTAAACTCCTTAGACTGCCAGTCAAGCCGCGCAGGGAGTCAGTTTGCTGGGAGAAGTATGGTAACTTGAGCACTATCCTCTCCTCCTTCCTACTCTATCTATCTGCATCATTAAGATTTTGACAATAGTGTGTTCATTGCTATTCACCCATTGTCCCATTGTCTGTTTCATGGCGCGACAACAGGACCGTTGAACCTGGCCTCCCCCACCTTCATCTGCGGACTGCCCTGGCCGACCCGCCTGGGAGCGCTTCAGTCCTGCTCCTGTCTGCATTATTAAGATTTTGACTGTAGTCTGTTCGTTGCTAACATTCATACAATACAATTTATTCTTGTAGCCCTAAATCACAACAGTCATCTCCATCTCACAGGACTTAATAAAACCATTGATATCACCAACACAGATCAGAGAATCAACAGCTAAGACCCAGAAAACACACATATGTATTGGTCCATATGGAGAGGCCAATGTCCATGAATGTTGATAAATGTCCATACATGTTGTACAATGTTAAAGTGTCCTGGATCATCACCACATCCTTCTTGTTTGACACTAACTGTTCAACAGACCCTCCTGCATCGGCAAGGAAAAACTCTAAAACCCAGTGGGAGAAAAGTGAGAAACCTCGGGGAGATCCACATTGAGAGAGGGATCCGCTCCACACGGACGGACGGGCTAAAGATCCAGGACCTAAGCTACAGAACGAGGACCACTGCCACGCAACAGCCGCAGTACGTGGACAGGCTTTGCAGGACTGAAGCAGCTCCCAGGCGGGTCGGGCAGGGCAGTCTGTATGTGTAGATGGAGAGTGCAGGGTTCAGAGGTCCCGTCGTCACGTCATGAAACAGACAAAGGGACAACGGGTGAATAGCAATGAACAGACTACAGTCGAAACCCTAATAATGCAGACAGATAAGGTAAAGGAGGAGAGGATAGTGTTCAAGTTACCATACCTCTCCCAGAAAACTGACTCCCTACCCAGCTTGACTGACAATCTAAGATTTTTAGCCTTCCTTGCTCCTCCAAAGCATATGCTAAACTGAAGAGGACTGTTTTAAGCCTAGGCTTGAATGTAGAGACCGTGTCCGACCAAAGGAGGGACAGCAGTAGCCCCGGCTAGACTAGCCCAGGCTACAGCAGCAAAGAAAGTGTGTAATCCACAATATATAGTTACGAATAATGAACGATGCAGCGGTTCGCCTGGCTGGGTCCTGCACAAGCAGACTCCAAGACCAGACTAACAACCTAACCAGATAAATAACCTAACCATATGCACAATTGAACAAGAGTGTTTTAAGCCTAGCATTGAATGTGGAGACCGTGTCTGCTTTCGTAACGTGGATGAAAAGCTGGTTCCACAGTAAAGGTGCTTGGTAGCTAAATGCTCTGCTGCCGACAGTGCTTTTTGACACCTTAGAAATCACCAGACTTTTGCCGTTTTGCGAGCGCAGTGTTTGGTTTGGTTGATATGACACTAACGTGTCTTGAAGATAAGAAGGAGCCAAGCCATTTATGGCTTTGTATGTTAAAAGAAGGATTTTAAACTTTATTCTGTACTCCACGGGAAGCCACAGTAGTCAAGCCTTGAGGAGACAAAAGCGTGGATGAGTTTTTCCGCGTCACTTTTTGGAAGGATATTCTTGATTTTAGCAATGTTCCGCAAGTGGAAATACGCTGTTTTAGTTGCTTATAGTTGCTTTAGTGGCTTATATAAGCCTTGAAGGAGAGTTCTTTGTCGAAAACAACTCCAAGATTCCTCACAGTTAGTACCCGGGTATGTTAGTACCCAGCAACACTGTGAGGAATCTTGGCGTCGTTTTCGACCATGATCTTGGAGTCATTTTCGACCAGATAATCACTCTCGATAATGTCAGCAGCAGCAACTGACATTATCTGGTTGGCAGGGGAGACGCTTTGGACCAAGTAGAATCACTTCTGTCTTCTCCGGGTTAAGTAGATAGTTAAGAGTCATCCAAGTTTTTAGATCTTTTATGCTAAGCCTTTTCAACTGATCTGTCTGATTTGGTCTCATCCACAGGTAAAGTTGTGCGTCATCTGCATAGCAGTGGAAGTTAATTCCATGCTTTTTAATGATGTTACCTAACTGCAGCATGCAGAGTGTGAAAAGAATCGGTCTGAGTATCCCTGTGGCACACCGAATTCCACTCCAGAATAAGGCGACGAGTTATGATTCACATTTACAAAGTGATCCCGATAAATAGGATTTAATAGGGTGTTCCAATACTTAGGGAGAAGAGGCGAGGGCCCTCACACCCTTAAAAGCCACCCTCGCGCGCTAGTGTGGTCCGGAGCTCACCGCGCCACAATGAAAGAAAACAACATGAAACACCCGCACGCAAGATTGTGCATGTTTGTCTGTGTGCGTGTGTGTCTGCCTTTGTGTGTGTACATGTGTGTCTGTGTGCGTGTGTGTGCTCTATTAGTGCGTAATGTGCAGGAGTTCTGTACTAATCATAGCAAATATTCATATGAAATAGGATTAAAAACGTCTCATTTTAATAAATACTTTGTTTCATAAAGTCATATCTGTGTCAGATCTTTTCTGTGATGAAATCAGACACATTGATAATGCATGTGACGTAGGACACGTTTGCTGCATCATTTGCATATTGTCCCCTAGATCCAGGGGTGTCCCAATTCTTATGGAGAATATCCTGTGAGTGCACTCCCTTATAGGAAGGCACTTTTCTGGTGAGGGCACTCACACCTTGAGGGCCCTCAGAATTGGGACGGGGCCATTTGTGGCTTTGACCAGTGCCGTTTCAGTGCTATAATGAGCTCTGAATCCTGATTGAAAGAATTTAAACATTATTTTCCTGCAGGTGGCAGCAAAGCTGCTCAGCTATAAGCTTTTTCAGGATTTTAGATATGAAATTAAGGTTCGAGATCGGCCTGTAGCTTGTAAGTAGTTCTGGATCCAGGTTTCTTTTCTTCAGAAGGGGTTTGATTACTGCAGTTTTCAAAGCTTGTGGGACATAGCCACATTGTATAGATGTGTTTATTATATTTAAGATAGGCTCTATTATCCAAGCAAGGTGTCTTTGAAGAGCCAAGCCGGGAATACATCTACAATGCAAGTTGAGGCTTCAGAAGATGCGACCACAAAGATAATTTCCTCTTGGCTCACAGCCATGAACTTGTCGAGGCCCACTGAAGAGTCCCAGTGGGAAGTTAAGTACGCCACCTCAGCCTGTCCATCACCAACACTAGGAGTGGCTTCCTCCAGTTTGTCACGGATGGATGTAATTTTATTATTAAAGAAGTGAAGAAAATCAGAGAATCAACAGCGTAATTGAGGTATTTTAGGCCCGATTGCGCTATGGCAGTTGGTGAGTTTAGCGACGGTTCTAAACAAAAATCGACTGTTGTTTTTATTCGCTTCTATTAAAGTTGAGTAGTATTGAGTTTGAGCCCTGCGAAAGGCATTCTTGTAGTTTCGGAGACCTGCTCTCCACTATCTGTGGACAGGCTCCGAGTGGGAGTGGTGACATAGCCACTCCCACTCGGTTCAATTTAATTCATTGACATTGGTCTTTCCTTATGGACCAATACATATGTGTTCTATATTTTTTGTGTTGATTCTCTTATCTGTGTTGACGATTTCAATGGTTAGGGCTATACAATAATAAAGTTTGAAATTGAATTTAATCAAGGTTTTTTTTTCGTGATTTTAAAAGCTTGTGGGACAGAACCACTTTGTACAGGTTTATTTATTATATTTAAGAAAGGTTCTATGATCAATTATTGAATGCCAGTTTAATTCCATTCTACATATTCAGACAAATCAATAACATCTCCACTGAGAATAGAATGTTAAATATATTAATGCAATTTATTTTATTACATCTTATCTGAAGAAAATTTAGTCGTCTGAATTCATACACACATGCATCTACCTGTTTAAGCATCTTTGTTTGTCCGTAAAATATTATTTACGGTCTAAGGTAAAAACTGACCTTTCAAATAATTATTCATTGGCACTAAAGTCACATTTAATCCGACCAACTCAACTCAACTCAAGTCAAAAACTTAAAGTAGAAGAAAGTATAGGAAAGGAGGCTTGTTTCTTGAAATTGGAATAGCCTTACTTAACTCCACGTATTAAACGCAGCCATGACTCTTATTGGTAGTTGGAGTCTTTTCTCTTTTCTTTAGAGCTAGACTCAACCCATACCGAACGTAAGGCGTAACCCAGTGCGCCTACATAGCCCATGATGCTCCATGGCAGCCCCGCCTACAACCTCCTTCTCGCTTTAGCCAAGGGGTTGCCAGTTCTGTTTATTTTGGGCTTTTCTGACAGAAGAACTTTCATGATAGAAAGCCTGTTAATTATGCAATTAAAAAGGTTCCCATTCTGCTGCAATGATAGCATGCAATTAATTTTTTTTTTTCATTTATGTGCGGCATCACATAAATGATAATCAATTTACATTACCTAACAATGTGAGGCATCAAAATGAGATTCCTTCATATTCAAAAGAATAAAAATATAACAAAAGATATTCACATACATTTCACAAATGTAATCACCCACTTTTGACAGTTAAACATATATTTAATGTATTAGGTGATTTCAGTCATATTTGAACACATCAATTAGACTTGTTGCCTTGTGTTACTACGGTAACTGTCACATCTTCAGCAGTTTCTATGGTAACTGCCACATCTGCAACAGATCTAAACTGTTAATTTCTCAAACATATACAGTAATTGTACAGTACAAACAGTAATACAATACTACCACCGATAGTATGAGACAGACCGACAGACAGACAGACAGACACAGACACAGACACACACACACACTTATATATTCTTCTACATTATAAACTTATAATTAGGTAAAACTAATCACAATTATTAGTATTAAATTAATTTTCATAAAGATATCCATCATATATATACAAGTGAAATTTGTCTTCTCCTTGCCCTTGTTTGTTGCTAAATTGGGGGGATTTTTTTTATTATACTTTTCGAAAGCACAGGTTGCTTTTTTTTAAATAATCTCAAAGACTGGGATCATTCCCTAAGGTTTTAATTTGTCTCAAACTGTAATGCAGATTGGGTCGCTTGTTTTATTGTATATTTATTTTCAAGTGGCTATGGTTGCTTGATACATTTCATTTTATCTTCTTTGATAAAAGGCTCGAGTCGCATTATTCGATTTTATTGTTGTTGTATCTATTTAATTTTATCCTTTCGTGTTGGCTTGGTCTCTTGTTGCTGTCTGCCAATCTGGCACCCCCGTCCAGGCCGCGAGGAGAGCTCAAGATGGCCGCCGTGGCTGAACGTCTGCTCCCGTTTGCAACATGAAGCCGTGAAAGAGTGAGAGCGACCGTGCGAGAGGGAGGCACCATCGGGCTTTTCTTTTTTTTCTTTTCTTTTTTAGTTACTTATACTTTCATTTCGTCAAACACCCATCCATCTCATTCCGCGCCGCTTCTCGGGACCCGTCTTTGGGAGTGACGCGTCAAATCACGCCGGGATCTGCGTTAGCTACAGCGGCTAGCCCACTCCCTCCCTCCCGCAGTCAGACATAACCATCGGGGTTGGCTTCGTGTTAGAGGCAACAGGCACTCAGCCTGTCATAAACCGAAAAAGAAGAGTATAAAAGCGGATTTTCGCGTTGATGCTCGCTTTCTGCGCAACATGTCCGCAGACTGACCGTGCAGCCTGTAGCACATCCACTAAATGCGCAACTGTGCATTCTTATTCGTGCATGTTTTCTTCATTTACAGACAGTCCGCGTAAGTGTCCGCCATTCGTGCCAAAAGTTGTTGCATTTCGGGCGAATAATGGCCAAACGTAAACTGAACTTTTCCTGGTTGTAGTAGCTACTTTGGCCTTGTTGGCAACTCACCAAAAATCCACCGAAATGGACACTGCACTCGACCAAAACTAGGGAGGCGTTTTGTTTACCGTGTACTCTTAAGTCAATCGGAAAATCGTGTCAATAGTCGATGAGAAAAAAAAAAATATTTTCATAACTGGACTAGTCTTTCTATCACATGCCAAAAAATAAAAGTAGAGCGATATTTATTTGATCGAAAAGTCATAACAGAATAAAATTTGTGATTTGTACAAATGATATACAAATTATTTGGCGGCCATCCAATATGTGTAACTTCTAGCATATGTTGCAGACCCCATAAACAATACATTAACGCCGAGTAATCTGATAAATATCTGACAAATCGGGAAAATTATTGCTAAGATCACGATTACTAATCCCGGACTCGTTGACTAAATCTGGAGAATAATCTATTTGCAATTTTGGGTTCGTTTCCGGAATATACATTAATCTCGCCTGTTCAAACAATCGTAATCACGGATTTCAGGACGCATCCCGAGTTCACTCCGGTCGCGGGACACACGCACCGGCTCTCGCACACTGTCATGGGCGTGCAGGGCTTTCAGGAGTATCTGGAGAAGCGGTGTCCCGGGGCTGCTGTTCCCGTGGACCTGCTGAAACTTGCCCGTACGGCGGCCCGTCAGCCTCCCCTACACCACCCACACCATCATGGACACCACCCTGGGCCCGTACCCCCGCCGCCCACACGGATCCTCATGGATGCAGACTCGGGCCTGCAGCGGCTCTACGGTGGCTATCAGACTGACTGGGTGTGCGGAGGGGAGTGGAACGCCATGCTGGGATACTTGGCTGCTCTGTCGCAGGCTAGTGATGTCTTCATACTCAAATTCTTGTTAATTGGCATAAAACGGAGATGTCAGATTGCTATTAGAGCCTTGCAATACTATCGCATACAGATACTTTGGTGGTAATTATATCTGAAGTGTACAAACTATAAAGGGAACATTACATCGAGAAGTACCACGTAAAACTCATCATATACAATACATAATACAACTGGCACTATGTTGGATGATTTAGAGTCACTACTCAAATTACAACATACCTAGGAATAGTAATAGGATATCTGCAATTACAATTGACTTCAATTTTTTGATGATACTGTGCGTGTGCAATCTTTTGATTGTGAACAACAGCCAGAAATGAATCCTTTTTATTTATTTTAGGGCTGGAAACTACAAATCTCAAATATTTGTGTCATCTAAATGTTGCCTTCAAATTGGAATTATTTCAATAACTGCCCAGGCCTAGAGCAGAGATATTTCACAGGTTATACAATTATACAACATGACTTGACAGTGTAATATGAAAATAATTCAAATGTTCCCAGAAATTATTTGACAATTTAAAATCTTCCTGGAGTGAATAAAAAATCATGTGTGTTGTAAACTGTGCCAAACTTTAGGGGGGCCTCCAGTGTGATGTCATTAGTTCAACCTCCTACGTTGCAACATTTTCTTCTTGGGCTTATGAACTGCAGCTTCAGTGTATATTTAAAGTCTGTGTCATTCCACTTATAATTAGTCATTTTTTTTTAGAATAGTTCTCATGTTGAGTTTTCTAATGTGAGTACTGGTTTATTATTTAATTTTAACATATTGACACTACTAATTTGGAGTCATTGTAAATCAGTCCAGTTGTTTTGTACATTGTATTTGGCAATGCTTTAAAAAAAAATCTGCCTCCATTTACATTTTTATTTGGAATCTCCATTTATGATCCTCACTTGTAAATATGTTCATATCTGTATGTGATTTGTGTTTCCTTGTCTTCCTTCCCCCAGGCCTGTCTTTACCAGGGTGGGCTGGAGCTCGTGGTGGTCTTCAACGGGACGCTGGGGAAGGAGCGCTGGCCTGAATGGTCACGCAGAGTCCAGGGCCAGCGTCAGACTGCTCAGCTCATTGTGAACCATGTGGGGAGCAAAGCCACACCACCTCCACGTGCATGGTTCCTCCCTCCAGCCTGCCTCAGCCACTGCGTGCGCCTGGCCATGTTCCGCTTCAGAGTGCGGGTGAGTCTGATGCCATGACTCAAACTGTGAATTTTCACTTTACGGGTTTCTGTACCAATAATGAAGTACTTAACAAATTATGCTTGTTAACAATTAGTTAATATCCAAGTAAGAAATGAGTTTGAACTTCTGTAATGTTTTAGAAATGGTCATTCTGTATTTGGAAGTTGGGTACAGGCTAGATTAGATCTAAAGCAACATAATCGACAGACTTTGAAACGTGCAGCGCATTAATAGCAGAGGCTTTATTATATTGCAGATATACCTGGTGCACATATTCTGAACATCTACACTGTTTCCATGCAAAGAGAAGCAGCTTTACAACAGCCATTAGAGGGATCGTTTGCTGACCTGACCAGGGCATATTACAGTCTCAACACTAAAAAGGCAGAGCTCAGAGCTGTCTGATCTTACGTGTCAAAACATTTGTCGAAGCATTAGTTTTCCTTTTCTGGTGACTGTGTCTACTATGCACCATATGTGCACTGCACATCCACCGCACATCCATTAGGTCCACTGGATTGCCACTGCTCTTTACACATCCACAAAATGACCTGTGAAGTATGGCACTCCTTCACAAAAACTTTTCTACATAGGAATTTTCTACTGCCATTATCTTGAGCAAGTGAGTAGTGCAAGAATTAAGCGTTATTTGAGAAGTTCCCTGTTATCATTACGTCGACTTTAAAGGTCCATATTACGCTTTTTGACTTTTCTGCTTTTTAGCCACCCTGTGTAATTTTTGCAGTTGCTCCATATGAAAAAACATGTTAAAGTGATTGTCTGCAGTTTTTCAGAAAATGAGGTACTTGATTTGAAATAAACGACGCAAGCTCCCTCCCCCTTCCTTTCTGATTGGTCTACACCTACGTTTCCGTAACACATTTAAATGTTAATCTGATAACACATTATACACACACATTATTAATACACATGCACGGAGGTTTTCAGAATTATTTGTTAACGTTTTAATGATTTTTTTTTTTAATGCACCAAAAAAGCGATTGCTGCAAACCCGGAAGAAGCTATTTTCATGAATTGCACATTATAGGACACATCTGCAGAGGATCTGATTATGGATATAGGTTCAGTATATAAATGGGTAACTCAGCGCGGATGTTCAGAATTCTTTGTTCAGTTTTCATGTAGTTCCAGAGCCTAATGGAGGCTTGATTCGGAGGTTCCGCGAAAACAAACTGAGCATGCGTGCAGCTACGAACATCAGCGCCGATGATTGACAGCCCTTGGCATGACTCGATTGGTTAACATGGACGGCGTCGTGGATTCTGAGCTATAGCTAAGAGAAGGGAACGCGGGATTTACCCGTAATATTAGAATTAATAAAATTACTTATTTCATATCAACATTTAAGGCCAGGAGGTCAATTTCATACAATTCTTAAAAATTGTAATTCATTTAGTTACAGACTATCACTTTAACTAATAACAAATGTGACCTTTTTTAAGAATATTTACCTCCACCATGTTTATTGTTTTCATAGGCTTAGAATTTCACTTATACATGTCCATGAGAGAGGAGTCCTCTCGGTGTCAATGCGCCATCTTGAAATACAGTGGTGGATAAAGGACAAAAAGAATGTGAAAATCGCGTTTTCGTTTCACATGAGCTACTTATATCCTGCCTTTCACCGTGATCTGATGCGTAACTTTGTCATATGCTTAAACATTTATTTTTCCCTTGTTTTGACCAAAAATAACCTTTTTGTATTTTGCAAATCTCTCCATCCTTGTTCATAAATTTACCAAGGTTATACGGACAAATATAATTTATGTAATGTAAATAGAAGTATAAGGTAGGAAATCGTAACTTTTGCTTTTGAACCCATTTTATGCATGTGTACAGACAAATGAATGAAACAGTCTTGATACAAAGATTTTGTAAAAACAAGTGAAGTGCAAAACCAACAATTTACAAAGTCCAAAGTAAGTATGTCTCTTGAAACCAGGCGAGGGGATGAGTGGTCACTCATTGCTCGTTGGTTTTCTCAAACAAATAAATACACGCAACAACTTAAATACAAGCACAAAACAAATACACATCCACCGCACATCCATTAGGTCCACTGGATTGCCACTGCTCTTTACACATCCACAAAATGACCTGTGAAGTATGGCACTCCTTCACAAAAACTTTTCTACATAGGAATTTTCTACTGCCATTATCTTGAGCAAGTGAGTAGTGCAAGAATTAAGCGTTATTTGAGAAGTTCCCTGTTATCATTACGTCGACTTTAAAGGTCCATATTACGCTTTTTGACTTTTCTGCTTTTTAGCCACCCTGTGTAATTTTTGCAGTTGCTCCATATGAAAAAACATGTTAAAGTGATTGTCTGCAGTTTTTCAGAAAATGAGGTACTTGATTTGAAATAAACGACGCAAGCTCCCTCCCCCTTCCTTTCTGATTGGTCTACACCTACGTTTCCGTAACACATTTAAATGTTAATCTGATAACACATTATACACACACATTATTAATACACATGCACGGAGGTTTTCAGAATTATTTGTTAACGTTTTAATGATTTTTTTTTTTAATGCACCAAAAAAGCGATTGCTGCAAACCCGGAAGAAGCTATTTTCATGAATTGCACATTATAGGACACATCTGCAGAGGATCTGATTATGGATATAGGTTCAGTATATAAATGGGTAACTCAGCGCGGATGTTCAGAATTCTTTGTTCAGTTTTCATGTAGTTCCAGAGCCTAATGGAGGCTTGATTCGGAGGTTCCGCGAAAACAAACTGAGCATGCGTGCAGCTACGAACATCAGCGCCGATGATTGACAGCCCTTGGCATGACTCGATTGGTTAACATGGACGGCGTCGTGGATTCTGAGCTATAGCTAAGAGAAGGGAACGCGGGATTTACCCGTAATATTAGAATTAATAAAATTACTTATTTCATATCAACATTTAAGGCCAGGAGGTCAATTTCATACAATTCTTAAAAATTGTAATTCATTTAGTTACAGACTATCACTTTAACTAATAACAAATGTGACCTTTTTTAAGAATATTTACCTCCACCATGTTTATTGTTTTCATAGGCTTAGAATTTCACTTATACATGTCCATGAGAGAGGAGTCCTCTCGGTGTCAATGCGCCATCTTGAAATACAGTGGTGGATAAAGGACAAAAAGAATGTGAAAATCGCGTTTTCGTTTCACATGAGCTACTTATATCCTGCCTTTCACCGTGATCTGATGCGTAACTTTGTCATATGCTTAAACATTTATTTTTCCCTTGTTTTGACCAAAAATAACCTTTTTGTATTTTGCAAATCTCTCCATCCTTGTTCATAAATTTACCAAGGTTATACGGACAAATATAATTTATGTAATGTAAATAGAAGTATAAGGTAGGAAATCGTAACTTTTGCTTTTGAACCCATTTTATGCATGTGTACAGACAAATGAATGAAACAGTCTTGATACAAAGATTTTGTAAAAACAAGTGAAGTGCAAAACCAACAATTTACAAAGTCCAAAGTAAGTATGTCTCTTGAAACCAGGCGAGGGGATGAGTGGTCACTCATTGCTCGTTGGTTTTCTCAAACAAATAAATACACGCAACAACTTAAATACAAGCACAAAACAAATACAAAGCAAAATACAGCACACTAGCGTAGGATGGACATTTTAGCTTAGCTTGCTATCGATAGCTAAATGTAGCTAGCTCACTGTATACAACAGACAATCAAACTTTTACGTGAGTAAAAACATTTCTGTGAGAGCATAAACGGGATACGTAGCTAACCAGTTATTGCCAGGATTACCACAGACTAGTCACAAATCAAGAGCAGGGCGATCTCCCTGTAAACCTTTTCGTTCCGTTGAGCTGCCTTTGAATTCTTCCTTCGGCCTGAAGAGAGTAACGTGTGGACCTCGTCGACCGAACAGGACGCGGACTTTTGGGGCTTTCTGTGCAATTCTATTTCTCGAGTGAGGAGGACGTTAGGACGTATTGAAGCAGAGCAGCCGGTTTCAAAGATGGCGGGATTGAGTTGTTCTTACCAAGGGTCGGACATCGCTTCCAGTGACACTTGTTGACCAATCAGTGTAAGGCAGTCGGCTGATGTCACGTCATGGTGTGGCTTCGGCCTGTATAGAACCACTGTTGAGGTGAAAAAAAGTACCCTTATCCCAAGCCCAACCCTAGTGGAAATGCAAAATAACCGCGGCGTACCTTACCGTACAGTTACTGTGGAAAAGCGGAATAAAAGATCCATGGAGGACCACAGTTGTGTAAAAGAACGACCTGAACAACAATCTTTTAGAAAAATAATTATGCAAAAGTCTGGCCTCATAGAAGCAAAGTGTAAACATCGCAAACCACACGCACCGAAAGACAGCGTAAACACAACAGGAGGCACATTGTGTAGTTTGTACACAAGACACGTATTGTTCACGTACGAGTCTTGTAACTTTTTTTCACACTGACTATGAGAACGAGACAGAATCTGCAACACGGTCTCAGGATGTTCTGACCCGATCCGAGCAGTCTACTACAGTGCCTTGCGAAAGTATTCGGCCCCCTTGAACCTTTCAACATTCCGCCACATTTCAGGCTTCAAACATAAAGATATAAAATTTAAATTTTTTGTCATGAATAAACAAGTGGGACACAATCGTGAAGTGGAACGACATTTATTGGATAATTTAAACTTTTTTAACAAACTGAAAAGTGGGGCGTGCAATATTATTCGACCCCTTTACTTTCAGTGCAGTAAACTCACTCCAGAAGTTCAGTGAGGATCTTTGAATGATCCAATGTTGTCCTAAATGACTGATGATGATAAATAGAATGCACCTGTGTGTAATCAAGTCTCCGTATAAATGCACCTGCTCTTTTGATAGTCTCAGGGTTCTGTTTAAAGGAATAGTTCACCGTTTTTACATACTGACATATGTTCTTACCTTACCTTAGACTAGTTAATACATACCTGTCTGGTCTTAGTCCGTGCGCTCTGTCATGCAAACGGAGCAAAAACGGGAGCACAAATGCAGCCTCCTCTGTATATTTTGTATCACCAAAAGGTAGCTCCCGCTAGAAGCTACCAAACTCTTCCAAGTGTTCCCTATTAAATGTATATAGTTACGTGACGTGTTACACTACAAAGTATAGTAACACAGAAATGTAACAGTCGATTTTCTCAACGGATAAAACGGGGTACTATATTGTGAGGCGTAGTAATCTGAGGTGCGCTACGTCCGCGCACTAACTTCTCTCCGGAGACTTCTCTCTCGCTCACTTCCGTCAATAGAAGCAGCGTGAATTGTAGTGCACACAGTAGCAGCGAGAGAGAAGTCTCCGGAGAGAAGTTAGTGCGCGGACGTAGCGCTCCTAACTTCTCTGCGCAAGAGTTTGGTAGCTTCTAGCGGGAGCTACCTTTTGGTGCTACAAAATATACAGAGGAGGCTGCATTTGTGCTCCCGTTTTTGCTCCGTTTGCATGACAGAGCGCACGGACTAAGACCAGACAGGTATGTATTAACTAGTCTAAGGTAAGGTAAGAACATATGTCAGTATGTAAAAACGGTGAACTATTCCTTTAAAGCGCAGAGAGAACCATGAAGACAAAGGAACACACCAGGCAGGTCCGAGATACTGTTGTGGAGAAGTTTAAAGCCGGATTTGGATACAAACAGATTTCCCAAGCTTTAGACATCTCAAGGAGACCTGTGCAAGCAAAGTTTGATTTTTGGTTTCATCTGACCAGAGCACCTTCTTCCACATGTTTGGTGTGTCTCCCAGGTGGCCTGTGGCAAACTTTAAACGAGACTTTTTATGGATATCTTTGAGAAATGGCCACTCTTCCATAAAGGCCAGATTTGTGCAGTGCACGACTGATTGTTGTCCTATGGACAGACTCTCCCACCTCAGCTGTAGTTATCTGCAGTTCATCCAGAGCGATGTCATCCTTCTGGAGCTCATTTTTGGTGCGTTTAAAGCTTTTCCCAAGCGGTAGTATGCGGTAGATGCGGAAGTACAGTTTCATAATAATATAAACTCATGGCGCACCTCCGTGAACACATACTGCTGTTATATAAAGTCTCTGGAAGGTCTCTGGACATAGACGCTGCAGATATGCAATCTTGAAGAACTTCCCTCAAAGCCTGCCTGCTACTTCCACCTCTTCCGGCGTGGGGCCACCGCACACCACAACTTCGGGTCTGAACACTCCTAGCGTCTGAAATTTTGAGAATGCGCGCGGAAGCTGCGTTCCAGCGTTGTCGGTCTGAGCGCCCCATTACCCAGCACAAGCTGCAAAAGCCCGCCTCCAGGAGGTGATTGACGGGGGGATGAATCAAAACGGCAAATCAGCGCACATAGTTGTCAGCGACTAAAAGTGTTGGCGTTATGTCAACTTGGAGAAAATGTGTTTTTGGTTGTAAATATGTGACACTATTTGGCCCGAAATAAATGAATGCCTCGAGTGTAGATGCATTTTCTATTTCTACGGAGATCTGCCCTTGAGAGCTAGTACAAATCTGTTCATCTGCGGGTGACTCTTCACTAAAGACTGTCCCAGAACTACAGTTACCATGAAACTGGACTTACTCAAAAACCTTTCTTGAAACATGTTATTCCTACAATAATAGACGCTACCGAGGAGCCTAGATCTGTTAGTACAGTGCTATTAACTCCATTTTATTAACTATATACTTCTGATAACTAAAAGATGAGGGTCCGATTCTGCATTGAGGACATAGGGCTCTATCTGAAGCATTGCCATTGTTGGAAAAAGTTTATTCTCAATTCTGGAAAGACTATGGGGAGTATGGGCTATGAAAGCCGAACAGTTGGCTTTCATACTAGGATTATCTTGTAAAGATGGCGCCGTGGCAAGAGCTCTGGTGTGTGTTGCCTGGTGCACACTGGGGTACTCTTACAGTTTTTCCAATGTGGTTTTACTGCAAATGACAAATAAATGAATCTGAATCTTTTCAAGATAGAATTATTTGCCCGGATGAGATGGACAAATGACTTGCAATTTGGATATCTTGCAGCTCTACTTGTTACATGAGGATGGTTACATGATTAAAGGCGACAGTTCCGGGATGGTTGTTTCCCATGAGCATCGGTGCTGGAGGAGCTCTAACAGTAACTGGATGGAGAGCGTTCGTGTTGAATGAAGACTTCTGCATGTTTCAGTAAAAGCATACATGTGCAGCAGCATGACCCAGTGTGTCCTACACATTACATAAGATGAACTCACTGAACCCTCACAGACACTGGGGCCGCACACAATTTGTCTTCAGTACGTCATTCAGAGCGGTGGGACAAGATCTCTTCCACAAGACTGAGACAAGAATACCAGTTCTGCTATGTCTATTAGAATATTATATTTTATATTGGTCCTCAAACATTAAAGTGATGGTCTGTAACTCTAAATGAATTACAAATTTTAAGAATTGTATTAAATTGACCTCCTGGCCTTAAATGTTGATATAAAATAAGTCATTTTATTAATTCTAATATTACGGGCAAGTCCCGCCTTCCCAGCTCTTAGCTATAGTTCAGAATCCACAGTGCCGTCGAGGTTAACCAATCGAGTCATGCCAAGGGCTGTCAATCATCGGCGCTGATGTTCGTAGCTGCACGCATGCTCAGTTTGTTTTCGCGGAACCTCCGAATCAAGCCTCCATTAGGCTCTGGAACTACATGAAAACTGAACAAAGAATTCTGAACATCCGCGCTGAGTTACCCATTTATATACTGAACCTATATCTATAATCAGATCCTCTGCAGATGTGTCCTATAATGTGCAATTCATGAAAATAGCTTCTTCCGGGTTTGCCGGGATCGCTTTTTTTGTGCATAAAAACATTATTTTTTTCATTAAAACGTTCACAAATAATTCTGAAAACCTCCGTGCATGTGTATTAATAATGTATATGTATAATGTGTTCTCTGATTAACATTTAAAAGTGTTACGGAAACGTAGGTGTATACCAATCAGAAAGGAAGGGGGAGGGAGCTTGCGTCGTTTTTTTCAAATCAAGTACCTCTCTTTCTGACAAACTGCAGACAATCACTAAAACTAAACTAAAATAATTAGTTAATGTTCTAATACATGATTAACTAAGTAGAATATGATTAATAATGCAATGACCCAGCTATTTCATGTCTGATACTTTGGCTTTCAGCGGATACCCCTTACTCAAGGGACTGTAAATAGCAATTACTCTCAAATTACATCTGATTTATTACAAAAACATATTTATCTTGCAAGTAACAGTACAACGTTTTATGATTTAAATGCATAGTGTGACAGAAGGCTCATGTCTTGTTGTGTGACTGGAGAAATCTAATTTATAGCCTGCCTGCGTTTTGTCAATGAGGATTCAAAACAGTGTTCAAGGGAACATAGGTGTGCTAGAAGCCCCCAATACTGGCGTTGATGGAACTTTTGAAAAAGAACAAAGCTGTAACATGGTTAAAATGTCTCCTGATTCTGCTGTGTTCAGGTGGTACAGACGCTGGAAGACCACCACCAGGAGGTGCTGTCTCTTTACCGGGACTTTGGTTTCACAGGGCTAATTGCTCAGGACTCTGAGTTTGCGCTGTGTAACGTCCCAGCATATTTCTCATCTCATGCCCTCAAATTAAGCTGGAATGGCAAGAACTTGACCACACACCAGTACCTGCTTTCCGAGGCCGCCAGACAACTGGGCCTGAAGACCCAGCACCTGCCCTGCTTTGCTGCACTGCTCGGTACACACTCAACTCTTCCTATATTAACTCTCATGACACCAAAATCTGCTGTTGTCGTGAGAAAATATTTTTATGGTTAAATGCTATGCTTGGTCAAGTAAAATCAAATTTAACTGTATATAATATGCAATTACAGCTTTAAGGGTGGTGGTTACCATCCAGGTAACCAATATGTTTCCTGGATGGTACTAGAGATTTTTTTTCCTAATCTCTAGTGACAAATGAATTCAGTAACTCGCAGAAATATATTTACAGTGAAGGCGGAGTGCTCATTTTATTTCTACTGTTTTGTAATGTGTAACCTTTCCCCTCAATGGCAATGTTGTTCCTTATTATTACACTGACACAAGACACTAGCTTGTGTAGTATGAGCTGTATTAATCAGTTTTTCTTTCTTTAGGAAACCACATTCTGCCTGATGAGGACCTGGCTGCCTTCCACTGGAGCCTCCTGGGACCAGAGCATCCGCTCGCTTCACTTAAGGTGCAACTCACCCACATGTTTTTGATTCAGGAACTAGCAAATATGGACAAGAGATAATGATTTTACATGTGTTGGTTGAGGATAAATATTTGCATTAAATGTTAAACAAAGTGTAGGAATTTGAACTTCATGTGTTACACTCCGCATTTACTGAGGTATGAACTGTATGAAGGTGTTGAAAAATATCCCCTTTTTGATGAATAATACAAAGTGGACTTAGCGAAAAGTAGTTTTGGAGTGTCTTTATAAATGCCTTGTTCCTTCCTCCAGGTCCGTGCACATCAGCTGGTGCTGCCTCCCTGTGAGGTGGTGATCAAAGCCGTATCAGAATACGTCTCCTCTATCAAAGACCTCAGCAACCTAGACTCCATCGCCAAAGACGTCTTCAAACAAGCTCAGGTAGGCCTCTGAAAGATGTGGGCCACAAATGATTTCTGTCTGAAGGGCTTGGGTTGCAACTATATCAAACTATTTACATATTCATATACATTCAAAGTACAAGTACGTAATCTTTATTTATATAGTGCATTTCACAAACCTTGGTCACCCTCTTCACAATGTTGTTTGAAGTACAAATAATTGTCATTCAGTCCCCACATGGTGATTTTTAAGGCTAAGTAAAACTGGAACAGCCAGATGAAACCTCTGCAGACATGGGGAGAACGTGCAAACTCCTACTGCCCAGCAAATGTAACCACAAATAAGTCTCAAAAGAAGTTATCAGGACTGAGCAGAGTCTTTAAACCAGGTCTAAAAACCAGGACAGAAAACACTAAATATTGAGGCTCCAAGATTCCCTCGCCTTCTCTTATGTAATATATAATATCTCATAATCTTCCGTAACTTGTGTTTTTCAATTATATAAAATGTTTTTTGCGTCTGAGTTTTTATTGATTTAAATTGCAACTGCATGACAGGTTTGGTGGAGGGCAACATCCAAATGTGGCCACCTGGAGAAAATGATTGCTCATGCCTGCTTTTGCCAGGGGTTCCCAAACTTTTCAGGTGCCCAAAGTCTACAAAATTGCTGGCTAAAAAAAAAAAAGCTTCAATTGGAATATATGAAATCAAAGACCCTGATGATAATAATAAAGTAACAACTAATCCAGAGGAGATTGAAAGAGTATTCACCAACTTTTATTGGGAACCATATGTACAACCTGAAGAAAAGAAAACATTTAATCACCAATTTGATCTCTCCTCAATTGAATCATCCATCCATCCATCCATTTTCTTCCGCTTTATCCATTGCCGGGTCGCGGGGGCAGCAGTCTAAGCAGAGACGCCCAGACTTCCCTATCCACACACACCTCCTCCAGCTCGTCCGGGGGGACCCCAAGGCGTTCCCAGGCCAGCTGAGAGACATAGTCTCTCCAGCGTGTCCTGGGTCTTCCCCGGGGCCTCCTCCCGTTGGGACGTGCCCGGAACACCTCCCCAGGAAGGCGTCCAGGAGGCATCCTGAACAGATGCCCGAGCCACCTCAACTGGTTCCTCTCGACGTGGAGAAGCAGCGGCTCTACTCTGAGCTCCTCCCATGTGACTGAGCTCCTCACCCTATCTCTAAGGGAGCACCCAGCCACTCTGCGGAGGAAGCTCATTTCGACCGCTTGTATCCGCGATCTCGTTCTTTCGGTCATTACCCACAGCTCATGACCATAGGTGAGGGAGGGAACGAAGATTCAACGAATTGAATCAAATCAAAACAATTTGCTAGCAGCTGAGATCTCAAAGGAAGAAATGGAAAAGGCTAAGTTCTCTAAAAAATAATACATTTCCTGGTAGTTACCGAATGGTATAGATTAGTATTTAGAAATGAGTTGGTGCTGATTTTGCACAACTCTTTAAATTGGACACTCAAAAACAACACAATGCCCTCTTCATGGTCAGAGACAATAATATGTCATTTTAAAACCTGGAAAAAACACTGTCCTGTTCTAATTATAGACCGATTTTTGGTATTAAATATTGATTATAAAATGTAAAATGTATACTTCTATAATTTCTAAAAGCTTAAACACATTCATAGCAGATATAATAGACGAGGATCAGACAGGTTTTTATCCAGTGGCGACAGACCCATGATAACATTAGAACTCTCCATATCACATCAAGAGCACAACATAGTTGAAGGGCCACAGTTCTATTGAGTATAGACGCTGAAAAGGCCTTCGACCGGGTCAATTGAGAATTTTTATACTTGGTTCTTGAGAGAATAGGATTCAACGCCTATTCTGTCAGCCAATAGCTAGAACGAATGGAAATTTAACTGGGCCTATCCAATTAGAAAGATCAACTAGACAGGGATGCAGACTTTCTCAAACACTATTTGCACTTTTTATGGAACCCATGGTACAGGCAGTGAGACAAAACCAGCCAACAACGAGCCACAAAGAGGAGACTGAGCGGATGGATCGGGCCAGTGGAGAGATAAGGCTGGGTGGAGCAGAGAACAGTTCTTTTTCTGATACTGTAAAATATTTTCACACAACTGCCGCCATCTTTGTTTCTTCTCCTGAGGAAAGTGCGCGGATGCCCTCTGCCAGCTGATGCATTGTGCATCCTTAGTAAAAACTAGTCTATTTTTACACACTTCTTTAAAAGGTAAAGACATTTAAAAAGATATTCTCATTCATCTTGCCATCCCCAGCCACTAGTCCTGGGACACCCCCCCCCCCCCTCCATGGCAGTCTCCGACCTAAACTTTGGGAACTACTGTTCTTGTTTGACTAACTTTCCTGAATAGTTGGTAAAATGTTTGATTACATTACCCCTGGCAAAAAATATTATGTCTGAGCTGTCTCATTGGCTGTACAAAAGGTTTTTGATGTTGTAACTAGTTAGAGAAAACATAGATGTTAACCCGACTTCTGTTTTGTGTTTGCTTGTTCAGCTTGGTACAATTGAAGATTATTATTTTTTCAGTCTCGAATGGAGGACAAGATCGACCGTTTCAAAAAAGCTGTGGAGTATTTCTCTGCTGCCTCTAAACCACGCTCTCACAACATGGGCCCCTCCGCCTTCATCTGTGAGTTCTACACAACGCACTGCAGTAACGCTGAACCTCAAACTCTGGTAAACTAGCTTATACCCTCCTTTCTATTTACCAGAGAACATGTAGGTCACTCTGGAGTATAGGCTTTCTCTAGCTTCCTCTCATAGTTCAAGTAAATTAATCATCAGGCTAAAGCCACCGAGCCTCAATTTTACAAAGAGACCAGACATTTGTATGTGCTCCCAAAGGACCAGATTTTGACAGATTGGCCTCATAACTGAACTATGACTTCAGATTCAGATTCATTTTATTAGCCATGTGCAGTATACAAACTACATTGGAATACATTTGCAAAGAAAGGTACTCTGTGTGCACCGACAGAATAAAGAACACGATACAATGTAATATAAAATACACATACACTGAATATAAAAGAATAAAAAAAACAGCTGACACTGTGGCACCGATCAACAAAACGATACAAGGGGTAAAAGCAGGAATTAAAGTGCTCTGTTTAGGCACCTAACAGCTTGTGGAAAGAAGCTGTTAGCATAGCGAGATGTCTTGCATCTCAGCGACCGATATCTTCTGCCAGAGGGAAGAAGCTGGAACATGGCTTTCCCAGGGTGGCCAGAAGAGTCATTAACAATCCTAAGAGCTCTGTTTAAAAGTCTGGATTTATAAAGAACCTCCAGAACAGGAAGCTCACAGCCCACGGTCCTCTTTGCAGAGCGGAGCACCTTGTTTAAAGCTCTCTTTTCTTTATCTGTGATGTTACCAAACCACACAGACACAGAACCAATAAGTAAACTCTCAGTGGTGCAGCGATAAAAGTTAAGCAGAATCTTGGAGTTAGTGGTAAATTCTCTAAGTTTCCGCAAAAAGAAGAGCCGCTGACGTGCTTTCTTAACGACCCGGTTAGTATTTTTGTCCCATTTCAGGTTGTTAGAAAGAGTTAAACCCAGGAACTTGCACTCCTCTACGATCTGCACCTGGGAGTTGTCGATAACTACAGGAGTGTGAGAACTGCTATAACTGAAGTCAAAGACAAGTTCACATGTTTTTGCAGTGTTCAGCTGGAGATTGTTTACTTTACTCCACTGAAAAACATGTTCGATCTCTGCTCTATAAGAGGATTCATCATTGTCACTGATGAGACCGATGATGGTGGTGTCATCAGCATATTTGATGATCATGTTTGAGTCAGAGGAGGACACACAATCGTGAGTGTACAAAGTAAAAAGCAAAGGACTCAAAATACATCCCTGAGGAGAACCAGTGCTCACAGAAACAACATCAGAAAGACAGTCATTGATTTTTACTCTCTGAGATCTGTCAGTTAAAAAGCTAAAAATCCATTTACACATGGCAACATTCAGACCAAGGGACATAAGTTTTTCAACCGACTTATCGTTACTGGACCCGTGTGACCTTGTTTGGTGGTTTCACATCTCTACAGATTTTTGCCCTAAACTAAGTTCCCTTCTCCTGTGTTGATGTTCAGTACCAGGTTTTGGACCTCCTCCATTTGGACCTGGACCCATGGGACCCGTGCAGCCCGGGAAGAACCAGGTATAAACAGTTTGAACTTGGATGGTTGGTTTGGATATGACAGAACCACAGATGCATTGTTGTAACATTGCCTGTTGGTAGGGCTGGGCGATAAATTGATTTTAATTTAATAACTCAATTTTACGTTTAGGGCGATTTCTTTTTAATGAAAATCGATTTTTTATATATTTTTTCCAGCGCAGATCTACTGTGCTCAAACGCTAACCGCAGGTGTTGAGCAGTCATTTTGAAAGCTAACCTAATGCTAACAGTGTCCTTTGTTAGCAGCCTGTGCTTTTTTCCACAGGCTGTTATCAGTCTGAACAGAGCACTATAATGATTTGCACTTTTGAAACTGTTTTAGCCGATCGATTTCACAGTGACACTTGTTTACTGTTTTATTTGTTTTATTTCTGTACTTTTAATGTTTTATGTCTGTATTTGTCTGTGCACACTGGTGACTTTTCCTAATGTATTCCAATGTGTTTTTTTTTACTGCAAATGGCAAATAAACGGAATCTGAATCAGTCTGTCCTGACGCTTGCTCTCACAGTGTGGTGCTGTGGCAATAAAACTTCAAACGTTCAAGAATCAGACTTTATTTAATCGCCAGAACACGCATGCATGCAGGCAGGCTCGCCACATCTTTCATTCTCATTCATTCATTTCTCAGCGCTCACGTTCGTTACTTCAAAGGGCGCCGCCGTGTCCGTGGTGCACACACGCACACACACACACACACACACGTGTCCCACTGAGCCTCTGCACTTTGGGGAAAGACACGTCTCACACATTGCTCTCATTGCTCTGATACAAACGTGTTCCATGCTCTGTTAGCTACAGTAGCTATGGTGCTTTCAGACCGGATCATGCGTTGCGTCGCGTTTCAATGCAAAGTCTATGGTGACGCGCGTTCGACCGTCGCAACGCACGGACCTCTCTGCACGCACAAACGGACTGTTCAGTAGACATGCACGGACTTGGCGGGAAAGTCAAAGGGGAGGAGCAGGAGCAACAAATCAACGCCCATAGAAGATTGATTCTGCTCATCCTTTCCTTGGGACGTTCGTGCGACAACCAATCAGAGCCGCAAAGTGGTCACGGGGACATTAGCGGACTGAGCGAGCAGACTGAAAATACTCATAAACTGCCAAAACAGGACCCACACCAGACTTCCCCAGAACTCAAACCAGGGTTGACAATGGGGGACTGTGTGCTTGTGAAAATATGCTTTGTCATGCTCCCGTGACCTTATGCAACTGCTTCAAGTGTGTTCGCCGATGCGGAAATACCGTTGAATAATATGAAAAAACGTATGGCGCACCTCGTGAACACATACTACTCTTATATAAAGCCCGTGGAAAGTTTCTGTTCAAAGACACAGCACAGTTACTCTTTCTGTTACTTACTTTCTCTGTTAAAACATTTGTATTTTGAGTAATTACTCAAAATCAGATTGCTCTGATTACTCGAGTAATTAATCAAAATGACTCAAATCTTCATCAGTTTTAAAAATGTGATTTTTCATGTGAATAATGCATGTGTTTAATTCAATTGATATATTTGCTATGGCCCTCGTTTGTGCGTTTTGAGTTATTTTGAAGGTGCATTGTGTCACTAAGTTATCAGAAAACTGTCAAGCTACATTTTCACTGTTTACAATGGCAGGGCTATTTCGTTTACAAGCGTGTTTTAAGGCTTATTTCCTGTTACACCTATGCTCCATGGGGATTAAGATGAAACGGCATAAAGGAAAATCTATTTCTTTGTCAGTTGTAGTTTTTTTTTTTTTTTAAATAGAAAAAAAGAATTGATTAAAATCAAATCGGATTTGGTGTGAAAAAACTGGAGATTTTTAATTTTATTTTTATGCCATATTGCCCAGCCCTACCTGTTGGTAATGCTGCAGGCCACATCAGGAAAGTTGCCTAAGGCAATATTGAAAATATCTAGTTTGGCATTTCTTAAACACTTCCATGCTTTCTGCTCATTTCCCCGTTTAGCACCCGTATGTCGCTAAACCAAGGGTTAGGGTTTGTTTGACTGCTGCACTCGTTTACAAACCAAAATGCAAAGAAGAAAACTTTGGTGTATTCGCTCACTGCTGTGGCTTACAGCAGAAGACAAAATCACTGATTAGATTTCCCGTTACTGACCAAAATAAGCTTATTAAGTGCTCTACAAATGCTCACTTGCTCACTAACTTACACCTACTAAATAATTGTGCTCGTCTCTTGTTCCTCCTCAGTTCTCTGCTCCTCCTGCTCCGGGTCTGAAGTTTCAGAACACTCACTTTTGCTCTGGTTCTCCGCTGTTCCAAGCACCACCCACAGACTGTAACGATTCACTGTCCCACAAAATGGGCTTCTCCGATTGGTCGGCTCCGTATGACTCCACTCATGGCGGGGGCAGATTACCCAATCACCACACAGGACCACAGTCTGGCCCATCCCCTTCGCCGTCGTCTTCATCAGATGGAGACGAACCCAACGAGAACACAAAGTAAGCCCCATGGTCTTCACTGCTTTAAAAACGTATTGACTTTGTGTATACTTCAACTCACGACTCTTCCACTGCAAGGACACATTTAAAGAAATCTAAAATGCATATTTTGACGTCAGATGATTGTGGCAATCATGGCTTTTAGAATTTAGTTTTAGTTTTTTTTTAGTTTTAATTTTTTTGTTATCATTCAGTTTATGTCCAAATCAAAACTGCATCATTGTCAGAATCAGAATTTTTATTTCCACGTAAGTAACAGGAAGTCACAGACTTGGAAATTGCTTTGGCTCAGTGCAACAGTAAGAGATAATAAAAATAAAGAATAAAAAACACTTCCAAGGAAAAAAATTTAGTTTAGAGTTAGTTACTATTGTACGCGCGTTTATGGTTCACGCTCGGTACATGACCACATTACGGCTGTGCGTTTGCTGAGCTGTTGTCAAAGTGGCCACAGTTGCTCCTGGGGTCAGAACGGAGGATGTGGAATCCCGTTCGAGTACGTAACGCGAACAGCCCGCGGCCACAAATGTCAAAGAAAAAACATTTTCAGCGGGAAAAAGTCAGAATTCGCGGATCCGCAGAAAATTCTCATACAGGCCTTACATGCACAAGCCTAAATCCCGGTTTAAGTGGGCCACGGCCCACTTCACGATTAGATCCGAGCTTTAGGTGCTATGTAACCGCGGGATGTGGGCTTGAGCACGATTGCTTCAACCATGCCCAGGCACGCTGAGAGATATAGTCCCTCCAGCATGTCCTGGGTCTACCCCGGGGCCTCCTCCCGGTGGGACGTGCCCGGAACACCTCCCCAGGGGGAGGCGTCCAGGCCACCTCAACTAGTTCCTCTCGATGTGGAGAAGAAGCGGCTCTACTCGGAGCTCCTCCCGTGTGACCGAGCTCCTCACCCTATCTATAAGGGAGCGCCCAGCCACTCTGCGGCGGAAGCTCATTTCGACCGCTTGTATCCGCGATCTCGTTTCGGTAATTACCCAAAGCTCATGACCATAGGTGAGGGAGGGAACGAAGAGTGACCGGTAAATCGAGAGCTTTGCCTTTCGGCTCACCTCTTTACCACAACGGTCCGATACAGCGACCACATCACTGCGCACGCTGCACCGATCCGCCTGTCAATCTCACGCTCCATCTTTTCCTCACTCGTGAACAAGACCCTGAGATACTTGAACTCCTCCACTTGAAGGATCTCTCCACCCACCTGCAGAGGGCAAGGCATCTTTTTCCGGTCGAGCACCATGGCCTTGGATTTGGAGGTGCCGATTCTCATCCCAGCCGCTTCACACTGCTGCAAACCGTCCCAGTGCATGTTGCAGGTCCTGGTTCATTGGAGCCAACAGGACGACATCCGCGAAAAGCAGGGACGAAGTCCTGTGGTTCCCGAACCGGACCCCCTCCGGCCCCTGGTTGCGCCTAGAAATTCTGTCCATAAAAACGGTGAACAGAACTGGCGACAAAGGGCAACATGCACCGGGAACAGGTCTGACTTACTGCCGGCAATGCGAACACAGCTCTGGCTCCGGTCATACAGGGAGTGGACGACCCTCAGCAGAGGACCCCGGACCCCTGCGAGAAACCCCCAAAAGACACCCCAGGGAACACGGTCGAACGCCTTCTCCAAATCCACAAAGCACCTGTGGACAGGTTGGGCGAACTCCCATGAACCCTCGAGTATCCGATGGAGAGTATAGAGCTGGTCCAGCGTTCCGTCGGGACGAAAACCACACTGCTCCTCCAGGATCCGAGATTCGACCATCGGCCGTAGTCTCCTCTCCAGTACCTTGGAGTAGACCTTACCAGGGAGGCTGAGGAGTGTCATCCCACGATAATTGGAACACACCCTCCGGTCCCCCTTCTTATAGAGAGGGACTGCCCCCGATCGCCACGCGATGTTGCAGAGACGTGTCAGCCAAGACAGTCCTACAACATCCAGAGTCTTTAGTCAGGATGGATCTCATCCACTCCTGGCGCCTTGCCACCATGGAGGCTGCCAACCACCTTGGTGACCTCAGCCAGGGAGATGGAAGTATCCACTCCAACATCCTCAGCCTCTGCCTCTGGGACGGAGGAAGTGACGGGGGGATTGAGGAGAACCTCAAAGTATTCCTTCCACCATTTGACAATATCCCCGGTCGGGGTCAGCAGCTATCCACCCGCACCTACACGGTGTTGGCAAAGAACTGCTTCCCCCTCCTGAGGCGCCGGACGGTTTCCCAGAATCTCTTCGAAGCCGACCGATTGTCATGCTCCACGGTCTCTCCGAACTCCTCCCAGTCCCGGGTTTTAACCTCTGCAACAACCCGGGCCGCGTCGCGCTTGGCCTGCCGGTACCTGACAGTTGCCTCAGGAGTCCCACGAACCATCATGGCTCTATAGGACTCCTCCTTCAGCCTGACGGCATCCCTTACTGCCAGTGTCCACCACCGGGTTCGGGGGTTGCCGCTGGGACCAGCACCAGAGACCTTGCAACCACAGCTACGAGCCGCCGCATCGGCGATAGAAGTGGAGAACATGGTCCACTCAGACCCAATGTCCCCCTCCTCCGCCGGGACCTGGGAGAAGCTCTCCCGGAGGTGTGAGTTGAAAGTCCGTCTGACAGGGGGCTCAGCAAGACGTTCTTAGCAAACCAGGTCTGACCGGCTTCCTCCCCTGCCAGCGGATCCAACTCACGACCAGGTGGTGATCGGTTGACGGCTCTACCCCTCTCTTCACCCGAGTGTCCGAGACACGCGGTCGAAGGTCAGATGATACGGCAAAATGCGTTTTACTTCATACAAGTTGTATTAAAAGCCGTAATTTAATTAAAAACTTGAGTTCATTGATTCAGCTTGTATGAATTCAGGCCATAAAAAGTGCTGAGTAGAAACTTAGCGTGAAGCTAGCTCTCCTCCAATCAGGAGTGCCGCTGTTACGAACTGGCTGCTTCCTCTTAGCGTCTACAGTGCTGGTAAACACACCAGCATGGAGGCAGAAAGTGGCTATACTTCCTCTGGCTATAACTGCATAAAAAGCAAAACAGCCCAAACAACGCAACTGTGAGGAAGAGGAGGAACTAAATAAAAAAAAGATAAAAAGAAATAAAGCCCGGGTGAACATAGCTAGCTTACATCGTATCCTCTGGAGAGACCTGCGGGAACAGAACCGCCTTGGACTACATTTGGACACAAAACTAGCGGTAATCTTTGTTATATATTTTGTTAGCAGTGCGTTGCTTTTGTACCATTTTCATCAGTGATTGTTGTACAGCTAACAAGAAGTTGCGCATATGCTAAGGTTTGCATACGTATCAGATTGCAAATAAAACTAGATGGCTTTGTGGGAGGAGAGCGTAGAGGAAATGAGAAGCCTGTGAGCGAGTTGGGGGGCGGTGCTAAACATTCAAACTGAGAAAAACCTTGCAGTAACGGTTATAGCTCCTTTAAGTCGACCGTAAGTGTTAAAAGCAACATTGACAACATGAAAAGAAAATGGCATTGCATTTGAGGGATTGGGGCCTCAAATATTGTTGTATGCAAAATTGCCTGCTCTCTGACAAGTTGTGGGTTTGCCTCACTGTAGTAAAATGCAAAGGGCGTGATTTCTCATGCTCTTATAGATTTGAGATGAGCAACTCGGTGGTGTCCACTCGACAAGCATGGCTTGTAAGTGTGTATACGCCCAGCGTATACAATAACACTGAACCTGTTCTCTTTAGCCATATGACAGACAAGAGCTCTCGCTGGGAGGAGACCTCTGCAAAGCTGGGCTCTGGAGACACTTCCTCTGGAAACGGTGGCTCAACTATCCCTTCTCTGCTCTCCATGGCCACGCGCAGCCACATGGACATCACAACGCCACCCCTGCCACAGGTGCGCAACACTCGTAGGATGCAAATGGTTCTGCTTCTTATTGCCACTCGTGTTTTGGAGTAATCCCGCCTTGTCTTGCATGCTAGAGTACTCTGAAAATGTCTGCTTCACAGAGCCAATGACTTTCTACCCGTTGTTAAGAGATAGATTTGATTTCATTTTACTTAATCAAAATTATAAGCTTAAAACCAAACTAATTTTTACTGCTGCTCCATATGAAAAAACATGTCAACTAATAACAAATGCCACATTTTTAAAGAATATTTACCTCCACCATGTTTTTTGAATTTTATTCATAGGCTTAGAATATAACTTATAAATGTCCATGAGAGAGAAGTGCTGTCCGTGTCAATGCGCCATCGTGAAAAACTGGTGGATAAGGTACAAAAAGATAAGAGAATCACGTTTTCGTTTCACATAAGCAGCTACTGATATCGTTGCTTTCACCGTGGCCTCACAAGTTTGAAGAAGGAACCATGCAAGACCACAGTTATGTAAAAGAACAAACCGAACAACAATCTTTTAGAAAAATAATTATGCAAAAGTTTGGCGTCATAGCAGCAAAGTGTCAACATTGCAAACCACACGCACCGAAAGACGCCGTTAACACAACAGGAGGCACATCGTGTAGTTTGTACACAACCGACTCACACATGAACAATACGTAACTTTTTTCACACTGACAATAATGAGAACGAGGCAGAATCTGCAACGCGGTCTCAGGATGTTCTGACCCGATCCGAGCACAGTCCAACCACTATGTCACAAGTTTCAACTAAACTTAAGGGACAAGCCTCAAATGAAACACACAGAATCCCCACAAAGCAATCGCCAGAATACTTCACTCATTCACTGCCAGCCATTTAAAAAGCAGCATCCCTCATATTGCCAGAGATTTTGGACATTTTTAGTGTTTTTCCGAACCGCATAGAAATGTGAGCCATTGGTTGACACAAGTATGAAACGTATCAAATGAAAGCTCTATCCCTTGGCTTTCATTTTTAAAAAAGGTAAGTTTCTAACCCTTTTAGTTTTTTAGCAATTGAGAGTGCAACATAGGTAACTTTCACACAAAATGCTGTTTCCTGACCAAGATTTGGAGAAAACAGCCTTTTTGTGAAACGCGCAGTTTCAAGCAGAAAAGTGGGGTTTTTTTGTCTTTACTGATATTTTACAATGTATGAGTTTCTTATTATGACACAAAACAGAAACAATACTTTGAATTGTATTTTTAATGTATAATTATTTTTAAACAAATTAAACGTGTACACACAATACACTCAAAGGATTGTCTTATGTACACATAAAATATTCAACTTGTATACAACTAAAACACTTTGTACACAAATATACAGTGAAAATAACTTTCTGAACACTTTGTGAAACAATTTTACTTTAGTTTATAAAGAATAGTAATTGGGTGACCCCACACTCTGCTGAAGTGTGGGGTGGAATCTACTTCATCTGCACTCCCAATACATTTCCAGATTATTTTTTTTTTTACAAACCCAGTGAGAAATGTCAAACCAAAAAAGGTTTTTAGCTGCTAGACTGTCACTGGCTTCCATGCATTTTCTCTGCTGAATGAGAGACGCTGTGTGTGTGCACTGAAATATTGTGCTGCATACAGCTTTGTCTGTTTGACAATAAGATCCAGGATCCAGCAGTTCATCAGTTATGAAGAGCTGCAGAAGTCAGCTGCTGATCCAAATCGAGCTCTGCTGCAGCATTTTGGGGTCCTGGGGTCAACAATCTACAACACAAAGAAAAATATAAAATCACCATACATTTTCACATTATAACAAGTGTTTTGGCTTGTTGACATGGCTGTATGACATTGAGATAAAAAAAAACCTCAATACTCGCTAAAAACGCTACTTTATGTTTATTTTTACTATAGTATAAGCCAGTGATTGCTATAGTCACTCCCTCCAGAATCTCTCAATGTTTGAACGCAAAATCACGCAGTCTCTCTCCCCCTGTTCCAAAGCTGCAGCGGGCGCGCTCCTGACGCACCCTCCACAGTGAGACGCACCACAGCAGAATGCACAACATGGTGCGGTAAATCTAACACTTGTTGCTCATCATGGGTCCCGCTCACCGGTCTGCCATGGATCACCTTCCCCTGTCCCTTCTATAAACCACACGGTAACATCATCCATAGCTCCCTGGCAGCTAATGCTGCATGCCAGATTCACACGCCTCCAAACTCAACAGGGAAACTTTTGGAAAAATGTCCCGCGTAATCGAGCATTTTACCCCGCAATAATCATTCATCAATCAACAATTGCGCGCAAAATCCTGGAGGGGCTGATAGTACATTAGAAAAAGAGGAGAAATAAACTCGTAAATGCAACATGTTGAAGTGAAAAGCAACTCACCACATTACGACGGGGGGAGGAGCCGCTGCTGCCGCTGCTGCTGCTGGACGAGGAGGGAGGGAGAAGGCTCCGAGGATCCTGGAGTCTGAGGTTAACTAAAACCTGAAGAACTAGCATCGTGGCATCTAGCTGTTTCTTATTTATCCGTTTGATGACTGAACAGGCTCTCAAACAGCGTTAGCTGCGTGAGCTTCTCAGGTCCGCTGTCCTTTGTGTAAGCATGGCTGCTCCTCTGGCTGTTACCCGCTCACAGCACCACATGCCCCTTCTCCCTCCCTGGATCTGGCCACAGTGTCACCTCTGCCCCCTACAGGATCGGTTCCAAAGTGTTTACTGGTCTGAAATGTTGACACAGGATGCACAAGAGCCTTGACAAGCCATAGAAAGAAAAAAACGAAAAAAGGATTTAGATTGACGTCTATAGATCTCAGTGCTAGATGACACAAAAAATTACAGTGTATCTTTAATATTTTGTGCCGTGTGCTCCTCATTCCTACTGTTCTGTAACCTGTGATACAACACTGGAATTTCACCACTGTGGGATAAAGAATCTCTATCTTAACAATGGTGTGAACTATGTTTCAGGTCAGTGCTGAGGTGCTCCGTGTGGCAGAGCACAGACACCGGAGAGGACTCATGTACCCACAGATCTACCACATCCTCACAAAGGTACCGTCAACATTAGGGCTTTGACTTTTGCACAAAAATCATATTCGAAGTTTGTTTATTAATTTAAATATTCAAATATAAAGTTCATACACTTTGTCACAAAGGGTCTACGTGACTACTTATGTCTGTGCAGGGAAGATATTGGAGCTAGCCACGCTCAATAAACGCGAAAACAACCAATCAACACATTTAAATATCAATCGGAGAATACGTTATACATAAACATTCTTAACACACTTGCACAGAGGTTTTCAGAATGATCTGTTAAAGTTTTCATGACAAAAATACTGTTTCAATGTGATCTAAAATGATCGCGATAAACCCAGAAGTACAGTGCCTTGCGAAAGTATTCTCCCTAGAGCCTTTCAACATTTCGCCACATTTCAGTCTTCAAACATAAAGATATAAAAAAAATTGTCATGAATCAACAAGTGGGACACAAACGTGAAGTGGAATGAAATTTGTTGGATAATTTAAACTCTTAACAAATAAACTGAAAAGTGGGGCGTGCAATATTATTCGGCCCCTTTACTTTCAGTGCAGCAAACTCACTCCAGAAGTTCAGTGAGGATCTTTGAATGATCCAATGTTGTCCTAAATGACTGATGATGATAAATAGAATGCACCTGTGTGTAATCCAGGGATTAAAGAGTTCCGTCTAGGTGACGGATTTCCGTCAAATGAAATTGGTCTGAAAAAAAATATATATATATAATAATGATAATACACACAATGAAATGATTGATTATAAAAATAATATATAGTAATACATATACGTATGAATCTGTGTATATATATATATATATATGTATGTATATATATATATATATATGTATGTATATGTGTATATATATATATATATATATATATATATATATATATATATATATATATATCTATCGATGTATAATAATAATTTGAATATAATAGTTTTTATATGTATATAGAAATAATAAGTAATATAATGACGAGTGGGCCTTGAACGTGCCGTGGCCACATGAGCGCTCCGCAAATGAATGAAGGCAATGGGACGTAGCTGAGCTCACGCGCAAATGAAGACGCGATGAAGTTAGCATTGGTAACACGGAGGTGAAAGTTTCTGGAAACTGCACGGAGCTTTTGAAAAGGAGAAGAGGAGGAAAATTGAATCTCGAACGGAGCAATAACAGCAGCAGATCCGGACTGGTAAGCTGGGCGCGTAATAGACGAAAGGTAATTAACGTTTACCAAACGCAATGCTATTTTACTTAACGGAATGTACAAAACGGACTTTGCTGCGACTGGGAATGGGGACAAACATGTCTTGGTGAGCTTTTGATATTGTCTTGTTTGCGATCTTCTTGCAAAACTCAGCGTGATGTAAAAGAGCCAATCAACGAGTCATGGTGCGAAAAGATGAAAGTGGCCGGTGCTTGTGCGTACTTTGTCATAAAAAATTGCATATATGGGAGTAATGAGAAAAAAAGTTTTGATTCGCCACCAGCTCAAAACTGCGCACAAGGCAGCTGTTTGTGCACTTTCCCACACTTCATCTTTACCTGGTGCATCAGCAACAACTTAGTCCCAATACTCGCACTTCTACCCTCGCGCCCCTCATTTGCGCGTTCCCGATAAAGGGTGCGAGTGCGTAGGGTGTCCCAATTCTCCAGGGAGGTCTTTGGCCCCGCCCCCTTTGCGCCCCTGATCCACACTTCGCCGTAGCCTGCATCAATGCGCACTCTGGCGAAGGATATTGCCCATAATTCTTTGCGGTACACCTCAAAACGTCGGGAAAATGCATTTAAATATACATTTTGAAATATATATGCAGTATGTGTGTAAATAAGTTTTGCTATGTTACTTGGAAAGAAGCATAAACGTCTGATGAAGAATTACGGACATTGTGTTTTAACAATTTAATAACTTTTTAAAACAAGCGTTTATATAACATTCAATTTAAACTTTACACTTAGTACAATAATCTTAGAATGTATAAAAACTGACCAGATAGTTAGTTACCCACATTTAACTTAAAATTATACAGCTATCTCTAATTAAAAAACTAATATACATGTATTTTAACGTGTGCAGCAATTCAATTTGTTTCCCAAAGGGTCAGACAAAATTACCTTTAATGTTTATAAAGTTTAGGTCTGAAAATGACCATCTCTTGACGAGTCGATGACGTAACCTGCACTCAGTGTGCACTGTCCCAATTCCGCCTTTTTTGCACACTTGTAACCTGCGCACTCCAACCCTGGTGTGCACTTTGAACAAATGCACACTTCGTAGAGGTGTGTAGGGTGCAGTGCAGTGTGGGTATTGGGACTAGGCCTGACACTAGGCTTGCTATGGCGGACCGTGTCTGTGGCTTTATCGGAGAAAATAACGTTCAGAATATCACTACCGCTGGTAGATTTATTTAAATCATTTGCAGTTGATCGAAGTGCACTGTGCACTCAAACTTGATGGGGAAACCTTTTTCTTAAATATTTACGTGTCCACAAACAAATGTGGACAGAATTTTATTGTCCTTTTGCAATATTTTGACGAGGACCGAGCCAAAGTGTTGACGCTCCATATCGCCTCAAGTAAAGCTACTCTCACTAATATTCTGTCAAAAAGTTGACTCGTTGCTTGATCCACTTATATTTCATATCAAAATACACTGTATATCTTTGAAGAATTCATTTGAGCTGTATTCAATATACAATTTATTATACAATAATATATTGTAATTAAAAATATAACTTGGTCCTGCATATTACTGTGATTTACTTGTGATAAATTTCCATACGAAAATTTTCAGTCAAATCTTTTTTTTTTGCTTTAACCCCTGGTGTAATCAAGTCTCCGTATAAATGCACCTGCTCTTTGATAGTCTCAGGGTTCTGTTTAAAGCGCAGAGAGAACCATGAAGACAAAGGAACACACCAGGCAGGTCCGAGATACTGTTGTGGAGAAGCCGGATTTGGATACAAACAGATTTCCCAAGCTTTAGACATCTCAAGGAGACCTGTGCAAGCAAAGTTTGATTTTGGTTTCATCTGACCAGAGCACCTTCTTCCACATGTTTGGTGTGTCTCCCAGGTGGCTTGTGGCAAACTTTAAACGAGACTTTTTATGGATATCTTTGAGAAATGGCCACTCTTCCATAAAGGCCAGATTTGTGCAGTGCACGGCTGATTGTTGTCCTATGGACAGACTCTCCCACCTCAGCTGTAGTTATCTGCAGTTCATCCAGAGCGATGTCATCCTTCTGGAGCTCATTTTTGGTGCGTTTGTCTAAAGCCTAGCGGACATCGACAGAGTAACTGCAGACAACTAGGTGCAAGGCGGCTTTTGGCAACTGAGAGGAGATGATGGAGAGGATCAGTTGAAATCGGTCGATGTGAGCGCTCCAACAACTGGAGATAAACAGTCAATCTCCGTATTCAGTCTGTTGCCAGTGTTCTACTTTAAGGCAACTAGTTGTCCTCAGATCCGGAGATATCACCCGATGTGCGCGCTCCAACATGTGTGTATTGCGCGCCCTCTACAGTTTATGCAGAAAACACTCTGTAGTAGAGGCCAGTTGCTGTCAACTATTATTCCTGTTATTCCCGAGACTGGCCTGCTTTTAGGAGTTGCCCGTTTACGCCAGATTGTTGATGTGTACGGGGCAGCAACTCATATGCGACGGATATAATCAGTTGCCAGTATGATGTATGCTAGGAAAAAGAGATGACATAAGAACAGTGACAAGGAAAAGTGTGAGAAAGTTCCCTCTCTTCACACACCTGGCTCTGGGTCTCAGAGGCAATCAAAATACAATGTCAAAGAGACCTGTTTTTTTGGATCTGAACAACTATTTACCCACATTAAAGCGTCTGGGTCAAAATGACCCGCAACATCATCTTTGTATACAAACTCTGCACAGACATTCCACTACACATCAAAGTGTCCAGATTTTACACATCAGTTCATGACCCTAGATGAGGAAAAGTCACAAAATTTCAGCAAGAAAAAGAAAGGATAACCAGTACTTTGATCAACTCAAAAACTGAAATGGGTCAAATTGACCCTTAACATAATACAAGGGTTAAACTTCTCCACAACAGTATCTCGGACCTGCCTGGTGTGTTCCTTTGTCTTCATGGTTCTCTCTGCGCTTTAAACAGAACCCTGAGACTATCAAAGAGCGGAGACTTGATTACACACAGGTGCATTCTATTTATCATCATCAGTCATTTAGGACAACATTGGATCATTCGAAGATCCTCACTGAACTTCTGGAGTGAGTTTGCTGCACTGAAAGTAAAGGGGCCGAATAATATTGCACGCCCCACTTTTCAGTTTTTATTTGTTAAAGTTTAAATTATCCAATACAGTTTGTTCCACTTCACAATTGTGTCCCACTTGTTGTTGATTCATGACAAAAAATTTAAATTTTATATCTTTTTGATTGAAGCCTGAAATCTGTCGAAAGGTTCAAGGGGGCCGAATACTTTCGCAAGGCACTGTGTATATATACGTGTGTGTGTGTATACATATACATATATACATATACATATATATGTATATACATATACATATACATATACATATATATATATATGTATAATTAATTAATTATTCCTCCTGTGGACTCACCACCTGCAGAGGGGCCGGTGCTATGAGACTTGGGTGGCATCTGATTGCCACCCCCCTGACCCAGAAATGGATTAAAGGGTGGAATATATATATATATATATATATATATATATTTCGAACTTTGAAGTCAAAGCCTTAGTCAACATGCTAAAATCCACTTATCAAAGCTCATTGTACCGTCATTCCTCTTCATTTAGCCATATACTCTTGATGTTTAAAATAGACTTTGATCTACTGGTTACTTTCACTTTTCATGTTCCCCTAATTCAGTGTTAGGACCAGCAGGCCAGTTTGAGGAATACCAAAATCGGTTATTCACAACTGTTGTCTTGTGTCCAGGGTGAGATGAAGATGCCCGTGTGCATAGAAGATGAGTGTAACACTGAGCTGCCTCCAGCCTCTCTCCTGTTCAGAGCGGCGAGACAGTACGCATATGGAGTGCTCTTCAGTTTAGCAGAGACTCACCGGCGTCTGGAGAGACTGGCCCTGCGCAAGAGGGCCCCCCTGGAAGGTAAGGACACTATTGTTCTGTATCACTAAAGCCTAGTTTATACTCGCGCGGCGCAGAGCTTACGGAGGTGACGTGACGTCACTTGCGCAACGCGTTGGTCACCGCAAGGCCCTTACGTTGCCTGCCGCGCAGCATAGAAATTTTCTAACTACGTAAGGGTCGTCGCAAGGAATCTCCGCTGTGATTGGTCCGATTGGGCACTATGGAGCAGAGCTTTGTGCTTCGAAGGAAAAGCAGTTTGGGCTCAGAGCCTGATATACAGGAGACAGTGGACTATCTAACATATATATAACTTATAAACTGTGCAGTCGTTTGTTTTGCACAGTTCCTGTCTTTGTTTGAATCGTAGCTGCGTTTGTTGCTTTCCTCCTGCACTCGTAAATCGTTCATGTTTGTCTCAGATATTTACCACTATTATTGTTTTGCTGTTTGTGCTGAAAACTATTTAATAATTATGTTTCCAACAAGAACTGTGTCTTTATTCACAGCATCACAGTTGAAATGACTTAAAATAAAATAATGAATCCATAAAACTATCACATAAACCTGCAGTAGAAACACGTGTAATGAGCTCAAACAGCTTTGTTTGCTATTGTTGTTCTGTAGCAGCGTAAATGGGACCGCTCCTGTGTGATCGCCCTCATGTGGTTTGTTGTGGGATTACAACATTCTCCTCAAAACTCCGGAAGGGGAACGCACCAGTATAACATCAATTGTGCTTACGTAGGTCCACCGCAACCACTAACGTAAGCCACGCCGCACAAGTATACACTAGGCTTTATGCGTCAGTATTAGGGGTGGAGTCACACTCATCCATATGCTAAGCAATGCTACCTCATGACTACTGCAGCAAGTGCTGTTAAATCAAGGTAAACTCACGGTTAACATCAACAGGCCACTATTTTCTGGTCCGGCAGCATACGCCTCCTTGTGACCGGGTCAAGCCCCTCTATTCATATTGCTCAAAAAAAATATGCTAAATTTGTATAGTCAAATCAGTCAGTGGTCATTTTTACAACCACCAGTAATCTGATCAAAATAATCCAGGGATTAAAGAGTTCCGTCTAAGTGACGGATTTCCGTCAAATGAAATTGGTCTGAAGAAAAATAATATAATATATATATTATATAATTTAAAATGCACACAATGAAATAGTTAATGTATATTTTCTATATTTTATAATTAATACATATACGCGAGTACCTGTTTATATATATGTGTATATATATGTATATATATGTATATATATGTATATGTATGTATATGTATGTATATGTATATATATGTATATATATGTATATGTATGTATGTGTATGTATGTGTATGTATGTGTATATATGTGTATATATATGTGTATGTATGTGTGTGTATGTATGTGTATGTATGTGTATGTATGTGTATGTATGCCTCACACGCAAATGAAGTCGCGGCCAAATTAGCAATGGCAAAACGGAGATGAAAGTTTCTGGCAACTGCTCGGAGCTTTTGAAAAGGACTGAGCAATAACAGCCAGCAGCCCCGCGGACCGGTAAGCTGGGCGCGTTATAGACGAAAGGTAGGACATAATTAACGTTAACCAAACGCAATGCTATTTTATTTAACGGAATGTACAACACGGACTGGGAATGGGGACAAACATTCATTTCACTTTGTACTACAGCAGGAGCAAAGCCATTCAGTGCCATGTCTGGGCACGCGCCGTCGGTCTTGGGGGACATTCGTCCGTAAGACAGTTGAAGAAACCCTCCCCTTTTAACCCTTGTATTATGTTAAGGGTCAATTTGACCCATTTCAGTTTTTGTGTTGATCAAAGTACTGGTTATCCTTTCTTTTTCTTGCTGAAATTTGGTGACTTTTCCTCATCTAGGGTCATGAACTGGTGTGTAAAATCCAGACACTTTGATGTGTAGTGGAATGTCTGTGCAGAGTTTGTATACAAAGATGATGTTGCGGGTCATTTTGACCCAGACGCTTAAATGTGGGTAAATAGTTGTTCAGATCCAAAAAAACATGTCTCTTTGACCTTGTATTTTGATTGCCTCTGAGACCCAGAGCCAGGTGTGTGAAGAGAGGGAACTTTCTCACACTTGTCCTTGTCACTGTTCTTATGTCATCTCTTTTGCTTAGCGTACATTGGACTGGCAACTGATTATATCCGTCGCCTTTGAGTTGCTTCCCCGCACACATCGACAATCTGGCAAAGACGGGCAACTCCTAGTAGCAGACCAGTCTTGGGAATAACAGCGCGTACATCGACAGCAACCGGCGGTCAACTACAGTGTGTTTTCTGACATAAACTGTAGAGGCCGCGCAAAACACACATGTTGTTAGAGCGCGCCACGGAGCGCGCCACGGAGCGCGCCACGGAGCGCGCCACGGAGCGCGCACATCGGGTGATATCTCCGGATCTGAGGACAACTAGTTGCCGAAAAGTAGAACACGGGCATTTGACTGAATCCGGAGATCGACTGTTTATCTCCAGTTGTAAGAGCGCTCACATCGACCGATTTCGGCAACTGATCATCTACTCTCAGTTGCCAAAAGCCGCCTTGCAACTAGTTTGCAACTAGTCCTCAGTTACTCTGTCGATGTGCGCTAGGCTTTAGACAAACAAAAATGAGCTCCAGAAGGATGACATCTGAACTGGGATAATGATGTAGAGGAAGAGAAACAGAGGATTTGACAGAGGACAGTGTTATTGCTGATCCAGATTGTCAATTTTCCTACGATAAGGAGGATTCAGAGTACAAATCTTTGGTCAAGGTAAGAGGAAGGGAGGAAGGAAGGAAGGTAGGAAGGAAAGAAGGAAAGAAGGGAGAAGGGAAGGAAGGAAGGAAGAGAAAAGAAGGGAATAGAGGAGGATGAACAGAGAGAAGGAAAACAGGATGAGAAAAAGGAAGGAGAAAGCATGACAGGAGGAAAGAAGGAAGGAAGAATTGTCATTTTGACCCGAGAGGAGAAGAAGATTAGACTAAATATTTCTTAAATATAGCGTTGGAATTAAAAATGTATTGTATGTCACTTTTCTAAATATTTATATAACCTAAAATAAAGTTGTTATTGGTTTAACCTGTTTTCTTGACTGTTTTGAGTGCATTTACACAGTACGGGTCAAAATGACCCGCAACATAATCAGTCATGTTTTTTCAACATAATACAAGGGTTAATAGGACCTCAATCATTTCACTGTGTACTACAGCAGGAGCAAATGGATTTATCAGTGTCTGGGCACGTGCCGTCGCATGCAGGTCACAATCTCCGGGCTGCGCTGTGACTTATGACAGTTACAAGCAATAGGCCCTAATTAAATCAGTTGCAATAAACTGTAGATTTTAGACATGGTTGTCATAAATCTGATTATATGCCCCTAAGGAGAAAATCACCCATATGCAAACCTGATCACATTATTTCCACTCATAAAGACCCAATCACGCACACAACTTTGATCATTTTTTGCAGTAATAAACAAGCACCCAGAGCTGTGTGCGGCAGCTGGCAGGGTGGCTACATTTTATGCCCGGAGCAGCAACAGGGACATGGCTTAAAGTTCTCCATTACAGGGCCAGTTTTCCAGTTTGAGAGAAAATCATAGGATATCACTTAGATATAGAATTTGCAGACATGATGCTGAGTCCGCATGGGTCACCGGCCGATCAGTGTTTGTTAGGCAAGGACAGGCATTCAACACACGGTGAATAAAAACTAAAACTTAGCTGTTCTGGCACTTCGCCATGAGGGTTTGCAGTAGTTCGGAGTGATACTTTCCCTGGTAGAAAGCTTATAAGTGGTGAAACTTCCACATAGCCGCTTTAAAAGTTGTTTACATTTATTATCTTTTTATTTCATTTTACATTTTACAATCTTTGTATTTTGACACATTTTATTTTACACAAGTTGGGATATTATTTTCTAGTAGGTTTGGATTCAATCACAACCGGGCCAAATATCAAACGTATATAATTGAAGATTCATAGTTAAGCAAAAGAAAATATTTTATATTTAACTTCTAACTACATGTTGATTAACATTTTAGAACGGATTCAATTATTTGGTGATTTTTCCAGAGAAAATAAGCCTTAAAATTAAGTATAACATTCCATAGTATCCTGTTATCATTATTACAGTAACTTGCAGCATTGATGGTAATTACAAATAATTTCAGGGGCCACTTAAAATGATTTAATTGAAATGCATAAATACATACACTGATACTATACATAATGGAGCAACTTATAGGCTTTATTTTTCTGCCGATGCACACATGTCATGTCGTTTGATTTTTTTTTTTTGTGTGTTTCAACAATGTGAAATCAATAATCGGCCTCATTCACGAACTGTTCTTAGGAACACATTGGTGCGTAAATCCTACTTACGAGGATTTTACAAAGATTGTGGCATTCATGAAATGTCCTCGTATCCAGAATGTCTCTTGGGTAAGCTCAGGAAGACTCTTAAGCACATTCAGTGCCGACATGTTCACACGTTGGTGTTGTTGTATTTTATTGAACTTCATAAAAGACATTACAGTGATATGTCTGTCATATTGATGTATGTATTTATTCCATTTTTTGTGGTAATTTAGCCTATTTTTTAATTCATTAAATGTGCCAAGGCTTTATAAAATACAATGGAAATCATGCCGTCTATTAGTGACCCCATCCTAGGGTACAATTCTCCATCCACGGGCCAAAGAACAATGGCATATACACTGCTGCTGCTGGAGGTTGTATTCTCCGCGCTGGTCTCTCCCATGGATCTATTACGGGTCCGCGCTAGTCTCTCCTCGGGTCTGCATTGGTCTCAGCGCTAGTCCACGCTGGATCTCCTCCCAGGGTCCGAAACAGTTTGAGATTAATCTCGTAATATTTTGTAGATTAATCTCATAATGTTGATATTCATCTCATAATGTTGAGATTCATCTCATAATATTTTGAGATTCATATTTAAATTAGTACATAATATTTTGAGATTAATATTTAAAGTAGTACATCATATATTGAGATTAATATTTAAAGTAGTACATAGGGGTGTAACGATACATTTTTAGAACGATACGATCCCTATCTAATAAGAGAGCAAACAATTTCGATATAAAACTATCTTAATTTTTAAAACGATACAATTCGATACGATACAGTAGATTTTGAACGATATATCGATACATTATTATATTGGCTTTTTCTGTAAATGAACTTATTACAGTAATTCAAACTTAGAAATCTAGCTCAGATTTAAAGTGCTGAACAAGAAAGAACTTTTTTATAGCAGTGTTTAAAATTAAATAATATATTTTATTTCTATAGTGGTTAAATAAGAATCAATCTGAAGCTGGATTTGATGGAAATAAGTTCAGACTTAATAAGAACTATTTCGTTATTCCAATGTATTTTCTTAATACTAAATAAAAATTATACTGTTAATTTGAAGTTCTTGATATAGTTTTAATAAAGTTCTTTATGTTATGACATGTGGTCCAAAACGTTTGTTGAGCTGTGAGCACTGAACGTTCTAGTGCTACATATTGAAGCATTTAGCTCGTATAGAACTTTGAAAATAGCAACACCTTTTTGGTCTCCGCTCTTGCACCGCAGTTACTGTTTTTGGATGCTGTTCCCTTGGGTGACTCTTCTGCTTTGCCAGCGATGCCGTGGTGTCGGTACAGATGCGAAGAGAAGCGTAGCGAGAAGAGTAGCTCTACAGAGCCAATCGTTTTGTCAAGATTGCCTCCCTTTTTTCTTTTTACAAAACCCGAAGTATCTCCTGACTAACCCAAATTAGGAGGTTTAAAAGCCTCGCTGCTACCATTATCCATGTTGTTGTTGTGAGCTTGTGACGTAAATTTACAGCGCCGCTGCAAAGGCTTGTTGACACGGGCAAAAAACTAATTACATTTTTGATTAATGTAAGATGACAAAAAGGTTACTAAACAGAGAATGGCCTCGGCAGAAACTAACCAGCGTGAGAAAAGAAAACACGCGATTTAGGAATGTCCACCCCAGAGCAGACATCTGAGACAGCAAAGGTCGAATGGGGGACTAACATTAATCACAAAGATGCCAACCTTCAAACCTGGACAATGATCGACCCCAGAAACAAGCATCTTTACCTCCCTCTCCGGTGAGATCAAAGATCAAATCGGGTCTGTACAATCTCCGATAAGGCCTGAAGACATTCCTCCCAGGCAGACTGGCGATCCACCAACGGCGTTCTGACGCCCCCCAGTGGACACGGGATGCTAGCACACCCGAGATGGACAGTCGACGGACTCAACGACGTCGACAGATTTTCACTGTGTACTGTACTGTTGTAAGTTTCTTTATTTGGCTTTAAAATGGAAAATGTTAGAACATCGTTTTAAATTCTAATCCAAACTATTCCACAGTCGCACTCGACACACACATACACCTTGTGGTTCTTGCAGCATTTGGTATAAGTTTACCATTTCCCCTCATATTTTGGCCATCTTCTTTCTATAAATTGAGATTGGATGTTGGTTGGTAAAGACTTTTTACTGGCTTGAGCTGTGCAGAAATCCACCAAATCAACAACTTTCAATAATTTGAATATATTTAACATATGATAAATAAGGATAAATTAAACAAGTATAAGATGTACAAAGCGTTATGGTTAAGTACCCACTTTGCTTTATTTGTAATAGCTATACTTTTTGATACTTTTGTATGTAATTAATGAGATTTCCAGTTCAAATTTTTGTCTTATTAAAAATTTGATTTGTTACCTTTTCTATTACTTTCTCATCAATAGTTATGGATATATTTGGATTTTCCTTACAGTTGCCAAACATAATTACTTTAGTTTTTTCAAGGTTAAGTGATGGCTTATTATTCATCCATGATTTAATTTTAGCCAATTCCTCATTCAGTGTTTATAACGTCGTCATAACAATCATCTGCATAGAAAATGTTAGTGTCGTCAGCAAATAAAAACAGTTTCAGTAGTGCAGATACATTGAAGATGTCATTGATATACAAATTAAATAATTTCGGCCCCAATATGGAACCTTGTGGCAGTCCACATGTGATAGTTCTGCATGTAGGTTGGTACGTACCCATCTTTACAAACTGCTGTCTCTCAGTTTAACTTTTTTAATCCACTCCCCTGCTACCCCTCGGATCCCATATTTCTCTAGTTTTTCAAGTAAGATTGTGTGGTTAATCGTATCAAACGCTTTAAGTCAATAAAAACTCAAACGCACACTCCTACGCACACTCCTACGCACACTCCTACGCACACTCCTACGCACACTCCTACGCACACTCCAAATCATTCAATGTATCCATAGTTATAATCAGAGTAATATTTACAATTCACATTAGAAAAAAAAGTGCTGTCTGGATCATGTCTTTCTCTGGGTCATAGTCCTCATGCTCTGTTGAATCAAATGTATTTAATTTCAACACATTGTCCAGGACTCTGTCTCTTAACCCTTTAAGCCCCAAAGTCGCAATATTGCGACAAGCAACATTGCTCACTTAAACAGGCTGTATGTAAAAATGTGGTGCAGAATCTTGTTGATACTTTTCACCAGGTGTAACCCAGGTAAAAAAGGTATATATATTTGTGTAATGTGTAAGTATAAAATATAAAATATAAAATAATATTAAATGTATTTTCACTGCGTGTATAATATACGTCATCATGTCTCAGTCACATGACCGTCAGTAGCCATATTGACAGACTGTGTGGTTGCCGGTAGAAGCGGATTGGGAAAGAAGCTGCAGGAGCCTCTGTTGATCCGTCGGCTGTGAGGGAAGCGTGTGTGTGTGTTTCACATTGGAGAACTGGCCAGGAGTTTCCGGATGGCGAGTTTAGTCCCGAACCAGAGTTGAGCTCCAAGAGAGGAACTCAGTCCAGTCAGACAACTGCATCCTCCTGCTCCGGTCGGGTAGGAGGCTCCTGTAGCCGCCCTTTTTCCCTTTTGATTTGTCCTCGTGTTCGAAGTGAGGGGCTCACTTCATATTGACTCACATTCACCCGTTAAAACTCACTCAACCAAACAACCGCTCACCGAAGGAGTACTTGGATTATATTTTGGTGTTTTGTGCGCTTCGCGTACTCTGACATTTGTGCAACCGTTGAAGTGGACAATTCCGGAAGCCAATTGTCATTGTCTTGTCTTGTCTATATATGTAAATTTGTTGTATGTCATTGTTTGTTGTTTGTCATAGTCTCTTTAAATTCAATACATGTGGTGGTGCCATCTGCAAAATTCAAGTGTTTCATTGTGTCTCTCTCCACTCTTAGAGCCGAAACTGGGACTTCTGATTTTTAGCCCAGAACTCTATAGTGTGTGTGTCAAATTATTACCTGACCTGTAATAGTTTAGGTTGGGCTTTGATGCTAAGTGTTAAGCTAGCGGCTTTTTGTGTAAAGTTCTTCTCCAAGAATGCAGCTCTGCAGCGTCTGTGTCCAGAGACCTTCCAGAGACTTTATATAACCGCAGTATGTGTTCACGGAGGTGCGCCAAGTTTATTGTATGATTAAACTTTACTTCCGCATCGGCAAAAACGCTAGTAAATAGTAGTAAGTAAGTAGTAAGTAAGCTTTATTTATATACCGCCTTTCACAGACCAGAGTCACAAAGCGGTTTACAATTGTTATTTTTTGGGCACTTGTCCTCTCACTCCACACAGAGATGGGAGCGGGGTCGCCGAACAGGAGGCGCATGCCAGACCTATTGTACATATTTTTAGTGGTAGGGGAAACCGGAGTACCCGGAGGAAACCTACGCAGGCACGGGGAGAACATGCAAACTCCACTCAGAAAGGCCCTGGTCCGGCCGGGATTCGAACCCAGGACCTTCTTGCTGAGAGGCGAGAGTGCTATCCACTCAGCCACCGTGCCGCCCGCTAGGCTAGCGCTAGCTGCGCTAGTTTTGTCACTTAGAGCCTGAATGAGAACTCAGGCTGGCATACTGTATGTTCACAAATACTTTGTCCCCCATTGTCAATCCTGGTTTAGTCCTGGTTTAGGTCCCGTTTTGGCTGTATTTTTTATTTTTGAATATTTCCAGTCTGCACGCTAGACCCCTAATGTCCCCGTGACCACTTTGCGGCTCTCTGACCCGAGAAAGAGAGGGAGAGAGACGTGGAAAACAAACAAGTATACAAATGGAACTTATCGCAGCCAGAAAAATTATCGAGCTAATTTTAATTATCATGCGATTAATTGATTTATTGAATATCACGACAGGCCTAACCGTGAAAACCCTATTGCCATATATCTGATAATAGAACCGTGATACTGGGCTTTGGAAACTACAAATTATCTAGTGATGAACGAGTTATTTAGTTTTCTTTACTTTTTTACGCAGTTACCACCAATATTAACACCATTCTATGATTTCTGACGTTAGCGTGTGTGTGACAGTTCCCCCAGTGATCGTGAAGGAGTGGAGTTGTGGTAAAGCGAAGTCAGCTCTTACCCCGGAGCTGGTGCCTGCGCTGTGTTTCCGTGAATGGACCTGTCCCAACCTGAGGCGTCTGTGGCTAGGTCGTGCCTCTGAGGACCGCTCCCGGAGAACAAGGGCCTTCTTAGCCTGTCTGCGCTCTGACTGCCCCGCACTGCTCAACCCTGCACAAGTGCCCCAACACCTGCTGCTCATGTGCTGTGTGCTCAGGTACAAGACACTGGTTATGCATTCAATTTAGGTTATATTTCTTATACTAATATGGTTTCAAGAAATATGAGTATGTATAAAAATGTATGAATGTCATTTCAGGTGTTGGGATTTTTAGATATCACCAATCAAATCTTAATACAGGACAAAAATAACAGAGAACTGAAGAATAAAGCATTATAATAATACACAATACCTTTTGAAACATTCCTTAAAGTGATAGTCTGGAACTCTAAATGAATTATATATTTAAAAAATTATATTAAATGGACCTCCTGGGCTTAAATGTTGATATAAAATAAGTCATTATATTAATGCTAATATTCTTGTCTAAATCCTCCCGTAATTAGCAGGGAAGGAGGTCTGGGTATACAAAAGCCCACTCCAGAGTATCTGGTAAAAGCTCGAACTTGTAAAGTCCTGATGTGCTGTCTGTTTGCAGGTATATGATGCAGTGGCCTGGAGGCAGAATTCTTCAGAGACATGAACTCGATGCCTTTTTGGCTCAGGCAGTTTCTAGTCAGCTCTATGAGCCGGATCAGCTGCAAGAACTCAAGGTAATGGAATGGTTACTGTGGGCTTTACTGGAACACATGAACAGAACCACGAAAGGATGACGTGGGCCTCGCTCACCACTTTCAAAAGGAACCATGGGGGTCCGGTGCAAAGAGGACTGGGTGGCAGTTGAAGGCGGAGACCAGCCAGATGCTGTTCGGGCATCACCTCCACTTTTCTGGAGAGGCGGCGAGCGGGAGTGGCTATACTCATTGTCCCCCTCTCAGCTTCAATGTGCTGGGAGTTCTCACTGTTGTGGCAGCCTATTGGCCAAACGGCAGTACAGGGTTATCAGGAAGAACAGCACCACTGTTCTGTGCCCGAGTGGTGTTCAGTTATTGGACTTCTGTGCTAGTCACAATAACGTGCACTGGTGGCACAAGGGTGTCCACCAGTGCACGTGGCACCAGGACACCCTAGGCTGGAGGTTGAGATCGACATTGTTGTCATGTCATCTGAAACTCTGGTGACGAGGGGGAGATCTGTCAACCAATCACCACCTGGTTGTGATTTGGATCCACTGGCAGGGGAGGAAGCCGGTCAGACCCAAGCATATAGTGAGGATCTGCTGAGAACCACAGTATCACAGGATTTCATTTCTGCTGTTTGCAGACAATGTAGTCCTGTTAGCATGGTGCTCGACCGGAAAAAGGTGCCTTGCCCCCTCCAGATGGGTGGGAGAGGTCCTTCCTTAAGTGGAGGAGATAAAGTATCTGTCTTGTTCAGTGGCTCCCTTTAGAGAAGGGGGTAAGGAGTTCAGTCAGACGGTAGGAGCTCGGAGTAGAGCCGCTGCTTCTCCACGTTGAGAGAAACCAGTTGATGTGGTTCTGGCGTCTGTTCTGGATGCCTCCTGGACACCTGGAGGCACGGGGAATACTAAGGCCACGTTGTCTCTCTGTTGGCCTGGCAACTTGCTGTTTGCTGTAAATCTGTGATTCCACATCCTCCGGTGCCGCAGTGTTCTGACCCCCAGAGCAGTTGCGGTCGCTTTGTAGTGAATGGCAGCAGTTCCCACTTTCAGTGACCTGTGAGCCGCTTTGACAATAGTGCGGAGATCGTACAGCTGCTGCGTGGCCATAATGTATCCAGCGGGGACAGAACCATTCCCTGCAGCTTGTTACGAGTGCGTGTCTTTGCACTGGGTAGAGAACCACCGCTGCACGAACAAGAGCTGGACTTTGGGAGTCTCGGGAAGTGTCCATGTCTCCCGATCTAAATATGTAAGGGGGGAAGTAAAATTTGAGTAAAATCTTTATTACGATGAATAGCCCCTTGAAATGCATCATCTCGTTTTCAAGAGGGTTCTAAAAAACCAATAAATAAATGTAGTTACAGTATGGTGTAAGTTTCAGTAATTCATTAAAACAAACATTCACTCACTCAATCCCACACACACAGGTCACCCTACTCCTCAACCTGGGACAGTGAAAATGAAAGGATAGCCATATTTAAGAGTAGCAGATACAAACATTACTCAGGTGCCTTCATACATCAACTGTTAAAAAGCGGAAAAGAGGTTAAGGAGCGAACGGAGGTCAGAAGATTTCAGTTGTATGGTGCTTTATAATGAAAAGCCAAGTTCTTTTTTGACACTAGAATTGTGAAAGAAAAGCTGGTTTGTGTGACGAAGATGATAAAAGGAATTGAAAGCAGTTAAAAATTGCTTTAGATGAGTAGGATAGTCCAGGTAATAACATTTATAAACGAAAACATCTTTCGTATTGTAGAGAGTTGCAGATGTAAGGAATACTAGATTTGGAACAGTAAATAAGTGTGCTCTGCAAAAAATTTAATAATACAGTTGGAAAAGATCATTAATAAAGATAGAAAAGAGAAGATCCTTGTGGAAAGCCTTTATCAATTCATGCAAATTTGGACTGGCTGCCACCAAAGGAAACAATGGTGACGAGAGTGCAGGTAAGAGTTGATCCAGAGAAGTGCAGGTCTGGAGAGGCCAATATTTTAGAGTTTATCTATAAGTAATAAATGGTCAACCAAGTCAAATCAAGAATTGCCCCCAGTGAAGTTTTCAAAACTAGAAAACCCGTCATTTATTTCAGGAGGGCTGTAGTTGTGCTGAAGTGCTTTCTAAATCCTGATTGAGACTGGGATTAGGGATGTAAAAAAATATGAATTTTCATGACCGACCACTGAGCCTCAATAACCGGTTAACCGCTTAGTTTAAAATAGTCCACGTTCTTTGAAATGACAGCCATTTCGAGCCGCATACTTTCTTTAAGAGCAGTTATACGTTCTAATGGATCAGAGCTGAGACAGCGGCACCAAAACACACAACAGCTTCGGCACCTTTGCGCACTGAGAACTGCTGTTTTATTCTTCCCATTCTGCTGTGCTTCGGGTTAAAGTATTTTTAAGAAAAAGACTGCTCGTTCACATGGTAAGAGCAGCGAGTGACGAGCGTGTCTCACAGGTCTCCGCTAAAGTTTAAAAGTGATGTGCGTGGAGCTGATGCCAAGGACCAGCAGCACAAACATGTTCCATGTGGTTTGACTGGAGCCGCGTATTTGCGAGGATCCTTTGGGCTCCGTGACACAGAGCGCGACAGACCGGTATGTGTGTGTGTGTGTGTGTGTGTAAATATAAGCTCCAATGTAGTTCTGACCCGCGCCAGTGTGCAACTAGCAGGCGGTAACGGGGGAGAGATGATGCGTGTGGATGTTACCTATCAATGGAGGGGGGGAAAGTGTGTGCGTGCATTTGTGGTGCGTGAGAGTCGGCCCGGAGTTTACTGTTACATCGGCGCACACAGCAAGATACGGACCCGCTCGTCACATCGTTCAAATAGGGCTTAAAAAGAGACCTCCCTTCTCCCCTTTTTCTTTTTTTTAACAGACAGCTTTGACCGGTGAACGCTGTGACGGTCAACCACTGGTTAAACAGTCACCGATTTACATGCCTAATTGGGATAATGAGTTGTTGTTTTGTTTGTCAATAGTGATTTTCAGAATGTTATTTTATTTTTTGTCTCATAGTTAAGATATATGTTGAAAATTACAGGCATCTTTTCATTAGTGGCTGACCAAATACTTTTTGCCCCAGTGTTGGAGCTATTGGTCCATAGGGAGCGGGTTACATAAATAAATAAATAAATGTTAATAAATGTCCTTAGATGTCCAAGATCATCACTGTCCTTATACTCTACCAGATTCTGCAAGGATAGACAAAAAAAAACACCCCAGTGGGAAACGAGCAAGAAAGGCCCATATTTAAGGGGCGTTCACACCGGACTTAACTTCGGCGTCAAAAGCGTCAGGTTTCCATTGAAAGTGAATGGTGAAGCGCGTCAGGTGAAGCCGAGAGCCCCGGCGTCACTTGACGCGCGAAACGCTCGCGTATCACAACAATCCCTTTGACGCCGAAGCTGAGCAAAGCTGAGCTTTTGAAGCTTTGACGCGGGCTTCAACCAATCAGGAGACGAGGAGCAGCAGCAGCAGCAGCAGAGGGTCTGTCTCTGTCATGAAGAGAAGTCATGTATCTGCTGCTGCTGTTTTATTGTCATTATTGTTATTAGTAATATTATTTGTATGAGTAGTAACGTTCTGAGTAACAAAATCATTGTACACATGCTGTGTAGTAAACGTAGTTTATTTAAAATAAGAACAGGCTGACGATGAGTCTGGCTCAGAGCAAGGCAGCTCCGGGCGGGCGAGAGCCAGGGTGAGGCAGGGAGAGGCGAGAGCGAGGCGGGGAGAGGCGAGAGCGAGGCGGGGAGAGGCAGGGAGAGGCGAGAGCGAGGCGGGGAGAGGCGAGAGCGAGGCGGGGAGAGGCAGGGAGAGGCGAGAGCGAGGCGGGGAGAGGCGAGAGCGAGGCGGGGAGAGGCGAGAGCGAGGCGGGGAGAGGCAGGGAGAGGCAGGGAGAGGCGAGGGAGAGGCAGGGAGAGGCGAGAGCGAGGCGGGGAGAGCCAGGGAGAGGCGAGCGAGAGCCGGGGAGAGGCGAGCGAGAGCCGGGGAGAGGCGGGGAGAGGCGAGAGCGAGGCGGGGAGAGGCGAGCTCCGGGGTTTGAGAACTCAAACCGGGCGAGTGACATGCGGAAGTACCGCTGAAAGCGAGACTCCTCCGTACGCAGCTCCTGGAGTAAATGACGGAACTCTGCAAACACTGCAGCCTCTCAAGTCTGTGGTGAACCCATAACATGTTTTGTTGAAGCCCTACAACAACGTTATTTTGCTTTATATAACAAATAAAGGCTCGCTGCTCATTGAAAAATCCACCGCTGTCCTGACTACAGGCAACAGAGAAGCTCCTCCCACCGGCGTCAGGCGCGTCACTCGCGTCAAAAGCTTCAAGCACCAAAATGACAAAACTATCCCGGCGTCAGTTGAAGCGCGTCAAAAGCTTTTTGAAGCTTTTGGTCTGAACGCGCCTTTAGAGGGATCAGCTCCCACAGACAGGCTATTGATCCTGGACTCAGACTGGAGAACGAGGACTCAGGCTGTGGGGTGCAGGACTGAGGCTGGGAGAGGGATGAAGCCCACAAGTCAGGGCCGGGGTAGACCAGTTCACTGGGTGAATCCAAGGGTCCCATCCTCACGCCATTAACTAATTCAGTTTTTTTCTTTCTATGGCTCGTCAAGGCTCTTGTGCATCCTGTGTCATTATTTCAGACCTGTAAACACTTTGGAATCGATCCTGTAGGGGGCAGAGGTGACGCTGTGGCCAGATCCAGGGAGGGAGAAGGGGGCATGTGGTGCTGTGAGCGGGTAACCGCTTACACAAAGGACCGCGGATCTGAAAAGCTCACGCAGCTAACGCTGTTTGAGAGCCCGTCCAGTCATCAAACGGATAAATATGAAGCAGCTAGATAACACAATGCTAGTTCTTCAAGTTTTAGCTAACATGAGGCTCCAGGATCCTCGGAGCCTTCCCTCTCCCTCGTCCAGCAGTAGCGACTCCTCCCCCCGTCGTAATGTGGTAAGTTGCTTTTCACTTCAACATGTTGCATTTACGAGTTTTTCTCCTCTTTGTCTAATGTACTATCAGCCCCTCCAGGATTTTGCGCGCAATTGTTGATTGATGAACGATTATTGCGGGGTAAAATGCTTGATTACGCGGGACATTTTTCCACAAGTTTCCCTGTTGAGTTTGGAGGCGTGTGAATCTGGCATGCAGCATTAGCTGCCAGGGAGCTATGGATGATGTTACCGTGTGGTTTATAGAAGGAACAGGGGAAGGTGATCCATGGCAGACCGGTGAGCGGGACCCATGATGAGCAACAAGTGTTAGATTTACCGCACCATGTTGTGCATTCTGCTGTGATGCGTCTCACTGTGGAGGGTGCGTCAGGAGCGCGCCCGCTGCAGCTTTGGAACAGGGGGAGAGACTGCGTGATTTTGCGTTCAAACATTGAGAGATTCTGGAGGGAGTGACTATAGCACTCACTGGCTTATACTATAGTAAAAATAAACATAAAGTAGCGTTTTTAGCGAGTATTGAGGTTTTTTTTTATCTCAATGTCATAGAGCCATGTCAACAAGCCAAAACACTTGTTATAATGTGAAAATGTATGGTGATTTTATATTTTTCTTTGTGTTGTAGATTGTTGACCCCAGGACCCCAAAATGCTGCAGCAGAGCCTGATTTGGATCAGCAGCTGACTTCTGCAGCTCTTCATAACTGATGAACTGCTGGATCCTGGATCTTATTGTCGAACAGACAAAGCTGTATGCAGCACAATATTTCAGTGCACACACACAGCGTCTCTCATTCAGCAGAGAAAATGCATGGAAGCCAGTGACAGTCTAGCAGCTAAAAACCTTTTTTGGTTTGACATTTCTCACTGGGTTTGTAAAAAAAAAAAATAATCTGGAAATGTATTGGGAGTGCAGATGAAGTAGATTCCACCCCATACTTGAGCAGAGTGTGGGGTCACCTAATTACTATTCTTTATAAACTAAAGTAAAATTGTTTCACAAAGTGTTCAGAAAGTGTTACTTTTACTGTGTACAAAGTGTTTTAGTTGTATACAAGTTGAATATTTTATGTGTACATAAGACAATCCTTTGAGTGTATTGTGTGTACACGTTTAATTTGTTTAAAAATAATTATACATTAAAAATACAATTCAAAGTATTGTTTCTGTTTTGTGTCATAATAAGAAACTGTCATACATTGTAAAATATCAGTAAAGACAAAAAACCCCCACTTTTCTGCTTGAAAATGCGCGTTTCACAAAAAGGCTGTTCTCCAAATCTTGGTCAGGAAACAGCATTTTGTGTGAAAGTTACCTATGTTGCACTCTCAATTGCTAAAAAACTAAAAGGGTTAGAAACCAAGGGATAGAGCTTTCATTTGATGTTTCATACTTGTGTCAACCAAGGGCTCACATTTCTATGCGGTTCGGAAAAACACTAAAAATGTCCAAAATCTCTGGCAGTATGAGGGATAGGGTAGGTAGGGATACGGGATTCCCGGGAAATCTGATGAAAACTATTATGACGGGAAACGGGAAATGAAAGTAAAAAAAAAAATAGTGCGCTCCTATTATAAAGCACGTTTATTGTTGTTCAAAGTTCAAACATATTTCATTTACAATCAACATGTCTACAGCTGAGAGGATGGCTCATAAATTGTGTTTTTGACAACAAATATGGGTCTTAATCGCGCTAAACCACGACTTGTAATGAGGCCAGCCTCGGGGTACGGGGCAGTGTGTGAGCCCAGAATTTCGTTACGTCCAATTCTATCAGAAAGCTCCTTTCTTTTTTTCCATCTGCTAAGGGCAGCAACAGGTTTGGCGAACATACATATAACACATTTTAAAATCATATAAAATGCATTTAGGGTAATGTTCTGCTTAAAATGACTCTTTGGGCTTATTTCCAAATGGGGGATTACATATCTGCGCTCAAACTATTATCTGGACTTAAACATGAAACTGTTCTGAACTGAAGTGGTCTGTGCTGTTCATTAATAACTAAGGTAAGACCCATAACACAATTGGAAATGTGCCTTTTACGAACTTTTGCCTTTTGTTTGAGAAAATAATGCGGGCCATGGAAAACATTCTGCTGTAGCCAAACTAATTGTGAATAAGCCGCTCTGTAGGTTCTGTTGATTTATATGATATATGTTCATCTGACAGGGCTGAAATCAGTGCCTCCAAACCACACGTCACTGGTCGACAAGTGGATTGGGCAGACATTTAGAATCTCATAATAGTGAAATTCTTGAAGAAAGCCCAACAACAAAACGCTATGGCCACTTTAGCAAAGCTAGCAAGTCGCTTGGCAAGTCCACTAGTGGAGATGGCAGCTTTTGTTGGATTATATATTTGAGTGATATCATACATTACTTGGGCTAAAAACAACTACAAACAGCTATTTCCCGGGATTTCCCGGGAAAGGCGTCGTCTTTTCCCGGGATTTGATAAGTCTCATTTTCGGGAAAAATATTAAACCCTAGTATGAGGGATGCTGCTTTTTAAATGGCTGGCAGTGAATGAGTTAAACACAGTTGAATAGTAATGAACAGACTATAGATGAAGTCATAATCATGATATATAAACTGATGGGTAGGTGCACTTCTGCAAGGTTATGTGATGAGGTACGTTTGTTGGTCTGTCTGGGTTATGATTCAAACAGTTTTGTGGAGTTTAAAGGGAACGTGATTGGGTCCTGTGACTCCCAACAGGCGTGATTAATCTTAAAGCCACATACTACAGACCCTTGCTCTATAGCGGGGGACCTAATGAAAGGTCCCCTTTTCATTTCACGAGGTCCCCCGCACCAATCAGTTCAATAGATTAGGGTCGGGACATCATACAAATATTGGATTTCATAGAAATCCATTAGAGCTATTTCTTTCATATGAAATGCTTTGAAAATCTTAAACTACTACAATAGTAAATATTATAAAAAATATTATAGCAAATATTTAAAAAAAACTATAGGTGTGTACAATTCACACACAACATTAATCTCCTTTGTTTTGTTTCTCACAACACACCACAAACCTCTCCCAAACTCTGAGGAGAGGGTGCAACATATGTTAATTGTGGATAAGTTCTTCTTTCCATCAAATAACGTTTCTGTCATTGTTTCCACACCAAGGCTTTATGCACAAAATCCACTGCACTCAGTGAGCACTAAAGCTGGGCATACACTGTTAATGCTTCAATTATGTTTTTGACATGTACGTTCGGAACACACCTGTCTGCTCCTCCTCCTCCGCTCATACACAGAAGTGTGTCAATTTGGACAACGCCAGTGTGAGCATCTGAACGCAAGCGTCCAGCGCTCATTCCCGTCCCTTTCAAGTCTTTGTCTCACTCGGATTTAGACACTGCTAAAGTTATTTTGACAGCTCCGTAATGCGCACATAGCTGCCCTCACGCCTTCTTGTTTACAAATCGCTTTTGGTGAAAATTTGACACATAATTGTAATAATGTACTCTTGAACAAAAGAATCACGGAGGTTCAGAGAAAAGGTCTCGGGGTCCGGACCTGGAACGCGGTCCGCCATTTAGGGACCCCTGCTCTATAGAATGAGTGCTTGATCTCAGACGTTCTTGTCCACTGCTGTGTTTGTGCAGGTGGAGAAGGTGGATGCCCGCGGGGTGCAGCTTGCTGCACTTTTCATGGCTGGTGTGGACACAGCACTCTTCATCAATGACGTGTGTGGACAGCCATTGCCATGGGAACACTGCTGCCCCTGGGGATTCTTTGACGGGAAATTGTTCCAAAGTAAATTGTCAAGAGCATCCAGAGACCGCTCCTCGCTCCTGGACATGTGCGAGGGACAGGTCAGTAGTGTGTCTTATCCATCAAATCGATGTTATTTTGTTTTGCCCATTCACAACAGTAATTCACAAAATTGTGGATTTGCCAACCACTGATATAAGATAGATAAGATAGATCCATCTATTAGATAGATAATATCAATTAGATATTAATTTGAATAAGTCTTTAGGTCTGTAGGTAGTACTTAAAAGCATAAAATAATTTAAATCGTTTTGGAAATACCTTGAAAACAAACTTTAAAGTCAAGTTTTTCACACAAAGTATTAAAATGTGTGTAATATGTGACTTCTCTGTAGCTGTCTCCTCAAAAGTAGCATTTGTCAACCACTATTTTTATTTAATGACATGAGCCTACCTAAATAGGGGCGGAATGGCTCCATTTCAAAGTGCAGGTCATTCAGGCCAGTGAAACTGCAGGCCACCTGCTTTTGTATTCAGAAATTGAACACATTTTTCAACATTTTTTAGAGCAATAACATAAAACTTCTTCCCCATGTTGAAACCTAAGAGCCTGCATTGGAGACCTTAGCTATTGGAAATTATGATCTATGATAGATCTATGTTCTAAGGCAATAAATAGATAATTTTGAACATGCATACTATACATGCAGCACATGGACAACAAAAGAATATTTGCAGGAAGATTTAAACATAAAAAGAGATCTACTGTGAGAATCTGAGCCAATATAAAAGCAGGCCTTCCTCTCCAGTTTACGTCTCTTGCGCTGGGGAAGACGCTTGTATCCTAACCTAAGTTCCGGGAAAAGATTTTCCTCAGTAGGCTTTTTAGCAACGAAGGACTCGTAGTTATGTTGGCCTCTCATACAATGAGAATACTCATGATCATAACACGCTCCTTCCAGCCATACAGTCAAGCGTTTCCACAAGTTAGTACAACCACGCACCGCACAGAATTTCCCAGAACCCAGTTTGTCTTTTTGCTGCATTCATTTTAAATTTTGAGAACGTGGTTGGTCTGATCTGGAGTTGTGTAAACTGTTCTAAGAGCTAACCGGAAGTCTGAAACGGAGCCTACTTGTTTCCTCGTAGGAAACTTGTCTATATCCAGTGTTCCCTCTAATTTTTCATGGGTCTGAGCAAAACACAAACTCCCTGAGCGGCACATGGAGCACTCTGAGCAAGAGATCACTGTTGAAAACTATTAATTTCGTTACACAATCTAATTTTAGTAAGTTACTTCAGCTTCAACCAACGATGATTCCGTTCAATATTCACCTGATTCAAATGCTGAGTCTTTTATGGAATTTTGAATTAAAGTAGATTAAGGAATATATTTTCTATTTCATGATATAGATTAAGTAGTCTATATGAATACATTTTATACATTGTTTTATTTAGTCATATGGCAATATAACACAAATCAATTATCTAAATAGTCATATTGCCACAAAACCCACTTTACTTTGCAATGGACAACTTTTTGCTGAAGGGGGTGCTAGTTTTACCAACAAAGCTACTTGAAAAGATGGCGTTCATCAGACATAAGTCTCCCTGCATGTGTGTGTGCGTGTTGTGTGCGTGTAGCTCCACGCACACCCCGCAGCAGCTGGTGTAGTGCTCATGAGACACCAACCCGCAAGACAGAGTCTGCGAGTGCAGGGTGAGGTTGGTCCTAGCCCTGTTCTGGATCAAACGCAGCTTCAGACTTCTGTGTCGGGCGCACTCGCGAATAGTGTACCTCATCGTTATAGACCAGGGGTCTCAAACCGGTTCCAGAAAGGGCCATGTGGCATCAGTGCTCCTGCTCAGTTTGGAACTGTTGGAATTAAAACCTGCAGCCACATGGCCCTTTCTGGAACCGGTTTGAGACTCCTGTCATAGACGGAGAGCTGACTTTTTCTAGTCAGTCCATACTATAGAAGTATGTGGTCGCGTCGTATGTGCTCGCGGCACAGGATGCTAGATTTTAGTTTTTGGGGGAGGTTTCTCAGCACTGGGACTAAAAAAACACTGCTCAATTGAGCATGTGCGCAGCTCAGCGGGGGACTGTCTATAACGCCGTATTATTCTTTTGAAACGTTGAGAATCAATCATTTTTATTGCCACCTAAGTAACAGGAAGTCACAGACTTGGAAATTGCTTTGGCTCAGGGCAACAGAAAGAGGTAAGAGAAGCGAGGCATAATAAAAAATAATAATAAAAAAAGCACTTCTAAGGAATACATTTAGAATAGTTACAATTACTATATACAATATACAAGGGCACACAATGTAAGGTGACAGCAGTACAGTGAAGTAAAGTGACGTATGATGGGCAGTAAAGTGACATAAATGGCAGTGAGACAGGGGGACAAGTTAAGAAGTGTTCAAGAGTCCAACAGCAGAGGGGAAGAAACTGTTCTTGTGGCGGGAGGTCCTCCTGCCTGAGGGGAGTGGTTGGAATAGTCCATGTGCAGGGTGAGAGGGGTTGGCTGTGATACGACCAGCCCGCCTTTGAGCTCGGGCGACGTACAAGTCCTGCAGTGATGGGTACGTCGCCCGAGCTCAAGGCCGGGCTGGTCGTATCACAGCCGACCCACTTCACTTCATGTTTTTGGTGTATGAATTATTCTGGCATTACTATAATAAACCCCAGAAACTTTCTCTGACTGCTCTGCCTGTACATATCTCAATGTGTTTTCAGGAAGAGCTGATGTCCAAAGTGGAGAAGATGCGTCAGGCCATCTTGGAGGGCATTAACCTGTCACGCCCACTTCCCCCTCCTCCTCCTCTGCCTCCCTCTGCTTTTCTGCCTCCCTCCATGGTGCCTCCCTTCTACCCCCTCCCCCCTCTGTACCCTCCCAGACCCATGGGTATGCCCCCCCATCACCCGCACCACCCCCACCACCCACACCACCCCTCCCAGCACAGACCCAGAGCATTCCCAGGTAAGGACCAGGATCATAATGTTGTACTCACAATATCCTATTTCCATGTTGTTGCGAACTGTGCTGCTGGTACCAAGCACCAACTAGGGGGCTTTTATGAGCGAGGTGTGATTAGATGAAAGGTTGTCTATACTAGTCCATAAAAAAAAAAAAAATGCATTGCTAAAAATGTTAAATTAACACATTTGAAGCATGTGCCGAATGACCCACCCATGCATCCTGTGATAACACTCAAATGCCGTGGACACATGCGTGCGTAAGATGGCGACAGAGCAGGTAGGCCCTCTGGGAATTCAAATTTAAGAATACGCGCGTGACCACCCAGCACTTGCTGTTTGCCAACGGGAGTCCGCATCTTCCTGCAGCGTTCTGACCCGGGGCAGCTGCGGCCGCTCTGGACAGCGGTTCCCACCTCCAGCGGCTGTGCGCCGCTTTTACAAAAACCCGCAAACGGCGCTGCTGTAACACGATCAAATCCAAGATATTACACGTGCAGAACTATTCTCTGCTTGTTGTGTGCGTGTCTTTGCATAACCTGTGCTACATGCACAGGGGAATTGTCCGTGTCTCCTGAAGCGCATTCAAACTCGCTAAATTAAAGCTGGGGTACCTAATTTTTCCCTGCAAATGTGAGCAAATCCAACAGATTTAGTGACAGCCATTGGCTTACATTGTGCATTTCAGACTTTTTTGAAATGTCCCATTCTCATCCCTGTAACAAACAAGTTTTGGTCTGTGATCATCTTCCTCAGTCAAGTAGTGAGATGTTTTTTTACTCTTGTAATGTAGACTATTGCACTATATTTCAATTGTTGAAACTACATACATCCTCTACAGTATGTGGTCCACATACCATATAAATAACCTTGAAAAAAAAAAGTTTAGTCCCTGTCCAGGCCTGGACCGATTAGCATAGTTGAAAATAAGGGTCTCGCTAAAACATTGAGCGTTGCGTCCCTCGACCCATCCTACAAGCCACCAGCAGGAGGCACAATAGTGAATCGGATCCAACAATGAAAAAAATACTGTACTTCAGAAAGACTGTTAATGATGCCATTTTATGTGGATTTATTGTTATAATAAACAAATACAGTACATATGTACACTATCATTTATCTCTCCAATCAAACTACCATTTACAGAAAAATATGGCATATATTTGCCAATAGTTTGAAATGCGATTAATTAAAATTTTGAAGCTGTCATTAACTTGGTTAAAAAGGTTTATCGTTTGACATATACGGTACACCCTTCATGGTATAAAACTTTGCGCATTCCCGGTTTGAAGGCACTGTTTGACCCTGTGGGTTCTTGTAGGCCTCCAGTCCATCCCTCCTCAGGGTGGGAAGTTGGAGATCGCAGGGATGGTGGTGGGACAGTGGGCCGGAAACAAACCGGTGCGCGGTCGTGGCGGCTTCAACATGCAGGTGGTGTCTGTGGGAGTAGGACGAGGGTGAGCGCCCCTCATTTACTCACAATTTAACCTCAGTTATCAGAAGTACCTTTGTCTTACTGCTTTTTTATCTGTTTCTAACAGTAGAGGTAAAGAAATTCCAGCTAAAATGAGAGGAGGAAAGAAGGCCACTGCCAACAGATCCCAGGTACAGCACACTCTCCTGTTAGATATGCATCATTGTTAATATTGGCCAAAACATGATTACTGTCAAATGACGGGGAAAGTTCTTTATCCGCATGTCAACTCTGTCCATAAACAGTTGTCTCCTTCCTTCAGCGGGAAGCAGCCTCCATGTATGTGACCGCATATATTAGGGCTGGGCGATAAAACGATAAGGATATATATTGCGATAGACACATGTTCGATATCAATAGAAAACGGGGTCGATAGATCGAAAAAAACAGGAACAAAACACAGGAAGTAAAGCAGTCACAAGCACGCGGCATTCTGGGGTATGTAGGTAAAGGCTTCTCGACCTATCACAGCCGACTACAAACCGCACATTTTTTTGGGAAATGCAAAAACAACCGCACCATGCGTAGCGTCCATGGATCATGGATCTAAAGAACGTGTTTCAGTGCCGTGTCAATGGTTATGCACGTCCGTGCAAGAAATGGCATGTGCGGCGCGGGAGAGGCAGTGGGTACCGAGACTCGATGCATTCAGCAAAAGTAGGAGATAAACTTTTTCCGGAGACACTCAAACAGCCAAAACAGGAGCTACACCAGGACTAAACACCAGGACTAAACACCAGGACTAAACACCAGGACTAAACACCAGGACTAAACACCAGGACTAAACACCAGGACTAAACACCAGGACTAAACACCAGGACTAAACACCAGGACTAAACACCAGGACTAAACACCAGGACTAAACACCAGGACTAAACACCAGGACTAAACACCAGGACTAAACACCAGGACTAAACACCAGGACTAAACACCAGGACTAAACACCAGGACTAAACACCAGGACTAAACACCAGGACTAAACACCAGGACTAAACACCAGGACTAAACACCAGGACTAAACACCAGGACTAAACACCAGGACTAAACACCAGGACTAAACACCAGGACTAAACACCAGGACTAAACACCAGGACTAAACACCAGGACTAAACACCAGGACTAAACACCAGGACTAAACACCAGGACTAAACACCAGGACTAAACACCAGGACTAAACACCAGGACTAAACACCAGGACTAAACACCAGGACTAAACACCAGGACTAAACACCAGGACTAAACACCAGGACTAAACACCAGGACTAAACACCAGGACTAAACACCAGGACTAAACACCAGGACTAAACACCAGGACTAAACACCAGGACTAAACACCAGGACTAAACACCAGGACTAAACACCAGGACTAAACACCAGGACTAGACACCAGGACTAGACACCAGGACTAGACACCAGGACTAGACACCAGGACTAGACACCAGGACTAGACACCAGGACTAGACACCAGGACTAGACACCAGGACTAGACACCAGGACTAGACACCAGGACTAGACACCAGGACTAGACACCAGGACTAGACACCAGGACTAGACACCAGGACTAGACACCAGGACTAGACACCAGGACTAGACACCAGGACTAGACACCAGGACTAGACACCAGGACTAGACACCAGGACTAGACACCAGGACTAGACACCAGGACTAGACACCAGGACTAGACACCAGGACTAGACACCAGGACTAGACACCAGGACTAGACACCAGGACTAGACACCAGGACTAGACACCAGGACTAGACACCAGGACTAGACACCAGGACTAGACACCAGGACTAGACACCAGGACTAGACACCAGGACTAGACACCAGGACTAGACACCAGGACTAGACACCAGGACTAGACACCAGGACTAGACACCAGGACTAGACACCAGGACTAGACACCAGGACTAGACACCAGGACTAGACACCAGGACTAGACACCAGGACTAGACACCAGGACTAGACACCAGGACTAGACACCAGGACTAGACACCAGGACTAGACACCAGGACTAGACACCAGGACTAGACACCAGGACTAGACACCAGGACTAGACACCAGGACTAGACACCAGGACTAGACACCAGGACTAGACACCAGGACTAGACACCAGGACTAGACACCAGGACTAGACACCAGGACTAGACACCAGGACTAGACACCAGGACTAGACACCAGGACTAGACACCAGGACTAGACACCAGGACTAGACACCAGGACTAGACACCAGGACTAGACACCAGGACTAGACACCAGGACTAGACACCAGGACTAGACACCAGGACTAGACACCAGGACTAGACACCAGGACTAGACACCAGGACTAGACACCAGGACTAGACACCAGGACTAGACACCAGGACTAGACACCAGGACTAGACACCAGGACTAGACACCAGGACTAGACACCAGGACTAGACACCAGGACTAGACACCAGGACTAGACACCAGGACTAGACACCAGGACTAGACACCAGGACTAGACACCAGGACTAGACACCAGGACTAGACACCAGGACTAGACACCAGGACTAGACACCAGGACTAGACACCAGGACTAGACACCAGGACTAGACACCAGGACTAGACACCAGGACTAGACACCAGGACTAGACACCAGGACTAGACACCAGGACTAGACACCAGGACTAGACACCAGGACTAGACACCAGGACTAGACACCAGGACTAGACACCAGGACTAGACACCAGGACTAGACACCAGGACTAGACACCAGGACTAGACACCAGGACTAGACACCAGGACTAGACACCAGGACTAGACACCAGGACTAGACACCAGGACTAGACACCAGGACTAGACACCAGGACTAGACACCAGGACTAGACACCAGGACTAGACACCAGGACTAGACACCAGGACTAGACACCAGGACTAGACACCAGGACTAGACACCAGGACTAGACACCAGGACTAGACACCAGGACTAGACACCAGGACTAGACACCAGGACTAGACACCAGGACTAGACACCAGAGACTAGACACCAGGACTAGACACCAGGACTAGACACCAGGACTAGACACCAGGACTAGACACCAGGACTAGACACCAGGACTAGACACCAGGACTAGACACCAGGACTAGACACCAGGACTAGACACCAGGACTAGACACCAGGACTAGACACCAGGACTAGACACCAGGACTAGACACCAGGACTAGACACCAGGACTAGACACCAGGACTAGACACCAGGACTAGACACCAGGACTAGACACCAGGACTAGACACCAGGACTAGACACCAGGACTAGACACCAGGACTAGACACCAGGACTAGACACCAGGACTAGACACCAGGACTAGACACCAGGACTAGACACCAGGACTAGACACCAGGACTAGACACCAGGACTAGACACCAGGACTAGACACCAGGACTAGACACCAGGACTAGACACCAGGACTAGACACCAGGACTAGACACCAGGACTAGACACCAGGACTAGACACCACCAGACACTAGGACAGACACCAGGACTAGACACCAGGACTAGACACCAGGACTAGACACCAGGACTAGACACCAGGACTAGACACCAGGACTAGACACCAGGACTAGACACCAGGACTAGACACCAGGACTAGACACCAGGACTAGACACCAGGACTAGACACCAGGACTAGACACCAGGACTAGACACCAGGACTAGACACCAGGACTAGACACCAGGACTAGACACCAGGACTAGACACCAGGACTAGACACCAGGACTAGACACCAGGACTAGACACCAGGACTAGACACCAGGACTAGACACCAGGACTAGACACCAGGACTAGACACCAGGACTAGACACCAGGACTAGACACCAGGACTAGACACCAGGACTAGACACCAGGACTAGACACCAGGACTAGACACCAGGACTAGACACCAGGACTAGACACCAGGACTAGACACCCAGGACTAGACACCAGGACTAGACACCAGGACTAGACACCAGGACTAGACACCAGGACTAGACACCAGGACTAGACACCAGGACTAGACACCAGGACTAGACACCAGGACTAGACACCAGGACTAGACACCAGGACTAGACACCAGGACTAGACACCAGGACTAGACACCAGGACTAGACACCAGGACTAGACACCAGGACTAGACACCAGGACTAGACACCAGGACTAGACACCAGGACTAGACACCAGGACTAGACACCAGGACTAGACACCAGGACTAGACACCAGGACTAGACACCAGGACTAGACACCAGGACTAGACACCAGGACTAGACACCAGGACTAGACACCAGGACTAGACACCAGGACTAGACACCAGGACTAGACACCAGGACTAGACACCAGGACTAGACACCAGGACTAGACACCAGGACTAGACACCAGGACTAGACACCAGGACTAGACACCAGGACTAGACACCAGGACTAGACACCAGGACTAGACACCAGGACTAGACACCAGGACTAGACACCAGGACTAGACACCAGGACTAGACACCAGGACTAGACACCAGGACTAGACACCAGGACTAGACACCAGGACTAGACACCAGGACTAGACACCAGGACTAGACACCAGGACTAGACACCAGGACTAGACACCAGGACTAGACACCAGGACTAGACACCAGGACTAGACACCAGGACTAGACACCAGGACTAGACACCAGGACTAGACACCAGGACTAGACACCAGGACTAGACACCAGGACTAGACACCAGGACTAGACACCAGGACTAGACACCAGGACTAGACACCAGGACTAGACACCAGGACTAGACACCAGGACTAGACACCAGGACTAGACACCAGGACTAGACACCAGGACTAGACACCAGGACTAGACACCAGGACTAGACACCAGGACTAGACACCAGGACTAGACACCAGGACTAGACACCAGGACTAGACACCAGGACTAGACACCAGGACTAGACACCAGGACTAGACACCAGGACTAGACACCAGGACTAGACACCAGGACTAGACACCAGGACTAGACACCAGGACTAGACACCAGGACTAGACACCAGGACTAGACACCAGGACTAGACACCAGGACTAGACACCAGGACTAGACACCAGGACTAGACACCAGGACTAGACACCAGGACTAGACACCAGGAACCGCTGGACCGCTTGTGAACATTTGGCTCCAGCCTCATTCCCCTTCGTAACTGTAAACAAGGCTGCTAACATGTGTTAGCCCACACGACAAATGTATTTATTTACGTTTAAAAAAATAAATAAAAAACAATCAATATATATCGTTATTGACCGATATGAATTACTTGTATTGTGATAGTTTTCAGCCATATTGCCCAGCATATATTTATATATTTGTACATTTAAACCATAATTTGCATACATTTTGGTTAAAGACAATGCATTTTGTCTGACGTTATACGCACTCCTGTTCACAAGTATGTATAGGTTTATATTACTCAATCCCACATTATATTGAGAAGTCATTTTTAAGAAAAGTTTATTGCGTTCTACAAAGTCAGAAGTGTCCATACATTTTGTTAGTATTTGGTAGAATTGCTTTTAATGCTGTTTTGACTTGAGTTAAATGTTCTACAAGCTTCTGGCAGTAATTTGTTTGAATTCTGGCCCATTCTTCCTAAAAGAACGGATGTACTGATGGAGTCAGGTTTGGTCACTCACACGGCCAAACATTTTCAATAGGATTTAGATCATGGCTTTGCAATGACACGTTTTAACTCCTTTGGCCGTCTGCCTGGGGTCATTGTCCATTTGGAATATCTTTATTTCGTTTTAGTTTGAACAAATTAGCACTTGAGTATTATTTGTGTTAGTATGCATATGTGATATTTGTCTGTCTGTCCTACAGTCGTCTCCTCCCTCCAGCCCACTAGAAGAGATGGGCTCAGTGCCAGACTCCGTGTCACAGATAAACGGTAGTTTGGCCGCTGCCATTGGCCAGCCCCTGGACCTGGCCCCTCTGGCCCAGCCAATCCCATGTGCCTTAACCAGCAGAGACAACCAATCAGAGGAGGCTGTGTGTTGCCTTGAAGACTGTTCGTCAGACGGAGCGCTGTTGAAGGAGGAATGATGTTCGACTGCCTTCCTGTCAAAGCCCCGCCCCTGCTGTTGTAGCCCCGCCCCTCTGCGCGCTAACCTGAAGCAGGAAGTGCCTACTTCAGCTTAGCGCTGACGCAGTTTGCGGTGCCGCAATTTTCCATGTGATTTTCACTGTTTGTCTGTAAGCGCCCCGCCCTGAACGCCCTTGTCAAACACAATAAGCCCCTTTAGTTTTAGTTTTGTTTGAAGCCCTTTTGTATCTCTGCACAGCAAAGACACAGGACGATGGTTACAGCCCTAGGCCTGGTCAGCCTTGTTACCGTTGATGGAAGTTTGGACTCGTAGTGTATTCTGAAGTTTATAATTGTTAAACTTGTGCATTATTCCTCCATTTTTAGCGATGCATGTGTGCATGCGCAGTCCTTTTTAATTTGGTGTACTGGAGCAGTTTATTAGCGCACTAACGCTAACTCCCTCTGACCTATGTAGCAAAGTCTAGACCTTTGCTGTGCTAAGAGACCCTGTGTTTATGCACCTTACGCCCTGTATGCAAGAGAATGCCCCGCTCCTTAAAGTGCATTACCAAACCCCTCCCCCTCAAAGCTTTGATTGTATCATCTCGACAGAAGCACTTAATGTTGTATTTAAATGAATTAAACGCTCTTCTGCCCTAAATATGACATATAGATCTACCGCTAGAGTCTATGAGACGTCAGAATGTCAACTGAGTGTTCAGAAGAAGCACTTAGTTTTTAAATATTACCCACACTGGAGCGCCCTCTGAAAGTGACTCCGAGGCACCTTCCATTCTGGCCAAAAACAGAAATGGACTTGAATGTGGAGGCTTGGCCCTGCCAGGCAGTGCGCCTTACCTTACATTCATACGACTTAACTACAACGCTAAAAGACACGTTTCAGATATCTGAAATGTCCAAAGTCTATTTTGATTGGCTGCGAGAGCCAATAGTCTTACACAGGTGTGTGTGCGTGCTGCACAAGCTGCACAAGATTCATTTGACACAAGCACTTCCCCTAAGTCCTTCGCCAATAGGCACAGGCCGGGACTGAGACTACAATCTGAGACCGAACAGGCTAGTTTAGAGCACTTATGTTTGTAGACAATGAGACCCCAAAATCTATCTGACAATACAAGTTTCACCTGCAGACTGTCCTCACATTACTTTTAAACTAGCGCAGGTCCACAGATACTGCACCTTAGTCTGAACTGTTGGCCTGCGTTTGTTTATAGCCATGACGATGTCAAGCATTGAGGTGAAGACAGAACGTCCCAGAGTGCACTGCGCTCAGCCCTGGGCCCAAGCTCAAGACCACTTTAGGTTTTTAGTTTGCTTTCGTGGCTCTTCACACATGTTATAGGTGCTGTAGGACAGCACCAGGCTCAACACAACCGTAAAAGTGAGAACAAGTCCACTGGCTCAAAGCATGACTGCCAGGAGTCATACTATTACTACATGTAGTACAAAGGAGTGTCAGCCATCTGTACTTCGCATGGTTGAATATGGCTCTCTTCAGTGGCACGTCTGAGTGAGGTCTGCACTCGTGACCGACCTGCCATACATGCGCACACACAAACACACACTCACACTTATACAAACAATGTTACCGAGTGTGTTGCTGCTTTTGTGCTGAAGTTCCAGTGTGTGTAGTGGAGCGGTCCTCGGTCCTTAACAGATCATTTGGTAACATTTCACTGACAAAGCCACAGTCTTCATACAGACATGGAAAATCCCCACTTACATGGAACACCACACATCAGATAAACGCAGTAGATAGAAACTGAAAAAGTCAACGCAATTCAAGGTTTAGTGTCCTGCTTTTTGTCCTTGTCTGATTTAGTTGGATAGTTTTATTATTGGTGATTTTTATGCTTCGTATCCGCGGAACGTCCCCGCTACTCACTTTTTCCCCCGCGTTTTCATCCTGTAGTCAGTTGTTTCCCTCAAACTCGTAGATATACATACATTTTAATCATACTCTGTAATAAAGGTCCTATATCACGCATTTTTTTTTTTTTACTGTTATTGGGCGGTTTTCTGTATAGTTTTTTCACTTTTTAAAGTTCCAAAGTTGTAAATCTTCTACTTTTTCCTTATAATTCCAATCCTGAAATCCAGTAGTTGGGTGTATTAATTCCACGAATTGTAATGAATGCAAATTAAAACCAGAAATAATCAGAGGAACTGTTTCACATATTCAATTCTTATCATGCACTTTTACTTAGTACTTTGTTAGTACTTTGAGATATATATATATATAGAGATATATATATAATCTCATAAGTGCATTGTATTACTGAAATTAAAGTTATGTAGCCTAGCTTTAACCCCTCAAAATGGTTTATAATACGATTTGACATTTTTTTTTATCAGCAAGACTGTAAAAGCCTGCGTGCTATGGGACCTTTTATTCCTGTACACACGCTGTCACTGGATTGGTGTAACTCTGTCCACCTCTGTGAGCTTTAAAACACATTCATTTCACACACTCTACACGCGCGTACGCTCCTCCCCTCTTTATAGCTCTAAAAATCATTTTCTCTGGGCGGCCCTGCCCCTTACCCGATTAACAGTCAACTTATATTAACGTGGATAATCCGTATTCTCTATGTATCTAGCCAGTCTCAAAAAATGAAAAAGTGGAAAAGAAAAAAAAATTGTTTTATTCAATTGTGCAAAATGTGTTTTTTCTTACTATTTTAATGTTGTTACATCTAATCTAATCCTACCATTGCTTCAGTTTTAACCTAGTACTGAAATGCGCTTAGCCAACCTAGAGATTTCAACTGTTATGATCGCAATTCCTTACATGTACTTTATATGGCATCCTTTAGAGCACTTCACCTGTTACGTAATAAGTATAAGTAATAATAATATTGGCCGTTTTGGTTTTAATTAGTTTAAAGATGCGCAGCCAAACTTTTCTGAGGGTTTGCTTGCCGGCATATCCAAGGCAATTCAAGGCAAAATGTTTTTTTTTTTTAGCGCGTTCTCTGACAAATCTGACTTTGAAAAAGTTTGATTTTTGAAATGCCTTACTATGGAATATTGCAGGCAGAACAGTTATAATGGCTTGCACAGTTTCTTTTGTTTATCAATGTGAATGCGGTTTAAATTGACAACTACAGAAATTGAATCCCTCCTCAGATTTCCGGTTATTGTCCCAAATGAGCCGCAAACTCAAACCCTCCGGTAGAAACGTCCCAGAGCGCATCTTTAAACTGTTCTGCACTATGTTTGACATAAGTAACCCCAAATAGCAACAATCGAAGCTGTAATCTGCTCCCTTGCACAAAGCCTATCGAAAAAGAAAACTTTATTCTTGAACGTTAAGAACCAAAGTATACATAGAATTGAATTTAAAATCCTTAAAGATTTATATCCCCCCTCGTATTGACAGTTTGCCACCCCGAGTTTTAAGATGTGATTTAGAAGTGTAAAAGACCGCACAAGTTAGTTTTCAGAGTATTTTATTGTGGTGAAAGGACAGCCTCAGACAGGACTGGGAGAATGGGATTTTTTCAAAAGATTTACATTGTAATAAGTTGTGTTTACATGAAGGATTTGTCATAGAGTTGGAGGGCAGCTAAAGTCAACTTTTCAGAGCATTCAAAAAATGTAATTCTCCTCAAAATTGCACAAATCTGGAAAATATGAAACTGCTTTTTATAGACCAATATTTGAAAAAGGCCGTCATTGTCCCTGAAATGACAGATTGAATTCTCGATCTAATTTTGAGTTTGATCACTAGATTTATTGGTGGCTGCGATTATAATTTTTCTTATGCTTTTTTTAAATTATCTTTTTTCCTTTTCTGCTATACTTTGACTTGTATTCTGATACCCTCCATATGAAATTTGAAACGTGTAAACACAATTTGTATTTTTTGTTGCTCTGTTGACAGATTGAAAATACATTTTTTTTGTGAGCTTGTAATGTAATTTTTATTTTTTGAACTTTGAAATTCAAATGTAATGCAAATGCTGCTGAATTTCCCTGTAAAAGTGACATGTCAAATTACAAAATAAAAATGGACATTCATTTATTCTCAAAGTTAAGCCTTGCCATTTAACCGTTGAGATATTTTTAGAAATGGGAAATTCGGTTTTGCATTTGTGTTAAATGGACCATGGCAACAGAGCACTAGTTATGTTTTAAGAAATGTGTGAATTTGTTGTGAAAAACAAAGTGGGATTTGGTAACACACAAATGTACAATTTGGATCAAATTATAAACACATTTCTTAAATTCTCTAATTAAACCTTTTTGCTTGATTTCTAAATTTCATTTCATTTTTGTCTAGACCTAAATCACTGCAGGCGTCTTGGAGGACTCTACAAAGTTGTCAAGTCACCAACAACAAAAATACCAATTGAGTAATCTGAATTTTCAAGGAACTTAAATGTCTTTTTCTCATGTTCCTGTCTGTCTGCCCAATACTGCCACTGCCCCTCCCCAATGTTCATCAAGATTCTTTTAGAGTTTTACAATAACTAATGCATATACACTTCACCAGTTGTACCAATATATGTAACCCATTCAAAACTATCTGTGCAGCATTAAGACTTAAGATATCCTAATTATATTGTACTAGAATAATCGTTATCTTCATTATTGCTGTTTTAATTCCAGTTGGTATAATTTGTCATCATTGTTAGCATTATGGAAGCACCAGAAAAGGAAGGACAAAGGAAGATATTTTTAGTTAATTTCGTCTGGATGTGGGTGGTCTGATTCTGCGGAGGGGAGAGGAAAGATGGCAGTCAAGTTTGTACTGGTGGGAATGACTTACAGTGCTGAAATAAAATTTATTCTTTTAGTAAAAAAAGTGTCTTGTAATTGTGTGTAGAAAATATTTTAGTGAAGTACATAATTCTTTTCAACAGCTAATTTGATAAATTAAGTAGCTTTCTAAATATTTTACCTATGTTCATGGAATTAATCTGTGTAAGTGGACAATGGCTTCAAACTTTTTTAACCTGTTTTCAGTCTAGAGCCAATAACACATTTCAAT